TGATTAATATAAGTTGAAATAAAACTTATTTCATAATTGTTGTTAAATAAATAAAGTTTATATATGAAACAAGTTATTTCAAATCAATCATGTTGGCCCAGATGTTAGCGTGCACCTCGGGTGTCTTAATGTTGGATGAAAATGATGTACCCGGAAAAGCCCAGGTGGTCAGGCAGAAGACCCCATATCTTTTCACAAATTTTAAATCAAGGTGAATCCTGCAAGTCATTAGGTGGGTGGTTTGGAGTCAGGAGACCGCGGACAGCTAGCTAGAACTCCATGAAAACTCCAGCTCAAATTCTACAATTTTTATCACAATTTAATTAGAAAGTAATCATGTCAAATTCATACATATACAAAGACTGAATATTTATTTAAGATAAATAGAAATTTATAAGTTTCTATGCAAAATCAATATTAAAGTAAATGATGTAAAGAGATTGCAAGATATCAACAGTTATACTAAAGTTGTTTTGCTACATGTTCTGAAAAGCATATGGTTTTTTCAAATAATAATTGTTTGGTCTGAATGCATGATGACTGGGATGCCATGGTATTTTACAACTACTAATGGAAAAAAGTGTTTTGAACATTATATTCTACATGGTATTTTGTTCTAATGACAATATTTCTGTAGTTAGACTGGGCTCACTTTGTTAGCGTATTTGTTCAGATTTTGAAGTCCTGGGTTAGAATTCCTGTCTTGCCCTGTTACACTGGTGCTTATGACTAACCTTTGTTTCAAGAATTGTATGTGTGCATGCCAAACCTATATTGTAAATAGTGCTTATTCTGGGGCAAAACTTAGGAAAAGGAAGGAGGTTGGCCGGTTAGAATGTCCATCTAGAAAGCTTGGAGGTCCTGGGTTTGAATATAGAAAGTCCATGTACAAAGTTTGCATGTCCTGGGTTTGAAACTCAGCCAGGTCCTAATGAATCTGATCATGTGCACCTTTCTCTAATCACCATACAGTCTTATATAATTGCCACACAGGCTGCAATAAACATCATACAGTTTGATATACAGCTTTATAGTTTACCTCAAACTTAGAAATGGACTGTTCCTGGGCTTGCTGTACGGCTTGGTAAGCTGACAACATGTCTGCCTTCTCCTGCTCCAGTGTCTTCAGCTCCTCCTCTAGCTTCTGTTAGTACACAATGATCATGCTCTTATAGACAAACGTTTACATAGTCAAACCTGTCTTATGAAAGGAGTTTCTAAAAAGGTCAGATGAGACAGGATGTCACAGAAACAGAAGATATTATGTACTATATTTCTAAACATTTTCTTCAGGTTGGTATGTATGGATTGTGAAAAGACTCATGTAGCACAACCAAAAAGTGCTTATATGCGAGGTTTCGATGACTAGCTAGTATAGTATGCCCTGTCACCTTCATCAGACAAATGACAAGTGGAGCGTATGTACACAAATGTGTAAAATATGTATGAATTGTCCACAAATCAATGTTGATTCGGCTACGCTGTAAGCGTATACCTGGTATGCACAATTAATTGTTATATATGTACCAAACGCTTTCTTTGTTTAATACTTGGTCATAGATTTGTGGACAACTTGTACATATTTTACACCTTTGTGTACATACGCTTCACCGTACATACCGTACTAGTCATTGAAATGTCACATATAAACACTTTTTGGTTGTGCTACATGAATCTTTTCACAATTATGTACTATACTCTTTTATTCATATTCTTTAAAATGTTATCATATCTTTCATCATATTATCCATCCACTTCTTTAGTTTATTATCAGCATATTCCTGTGCAAAGTTTCATTTAGAACTGTTTTTCAGTATGTTACTGGGCTTGACTAAGTCTACATCACAAACCTGAATTTTATCCTTCTGTGCAGCATCATCCCCGCCCGACGACTTGCTTGCCTCAAGTTCGGTCATTTTCTTTGTCAATTCTGAAGAATATAAATAAACACATCAATTAGGAATTCTCAACAACTCTATCAATAAAACATAAGTTATCAAACAACAATAATTTAACAGATATTTATTTTAATATTGACAAGTTTATGTCCAAATGCTCATGAACTGAAGTGATAATAATCTTCAGTGAAGTTGATATGTTATCACCTGCCTGGTATGTCATCTTGTTCCTGGTTTACCAGATATAATGCTGTATTTATATTACTGATATTGTTTAATATCATCACCTTTCTGGTAAACTGTAACATAGATATTGTTTATGACATGTCATAATCGGCCTGTTATACAATCGAAATACAAAATGTTGGTGGTATTGTTTTAAGACAATACATATATAAATACAATTGTTTACCGTCAATCTTGACTTTGCTCTTTTGTAACATCAACATCTGCTTCTTGACAAACTTTGTCATATCTTCCCTTGATAATTGGTCCAGCTATAAGTAATTATAATACACATATCATACACCACATTCGTCAAACATGCGAAGACAAGTCTCACCCTGGTAAAATACTAGCTGCTTCCTATCAACTTGGCTAAGGAAAAATTCTCTTTAGTTTATTTGGTAGAGTGTTAGACTAGTAAGACAGAGGTCCCCGGTTCAACTCTGAGCGGAGGCATTGAAAAAATATTGGCCTCTTTTACACAAGGAAACAAGATGAGGGTCAGACACTGTATTGTCTATTATGTCTTACTATCTACGAATGGCTGCATACAATTCTACCTGTTCATTGTAATATACAACTGAAAGAATGAAACATGAATATGACAGTCATGGGAGTTGATCTCTCCTGTTCTGATTACCATAAATTGTTATAGTTTAAGATCCATTAGGTTACAGGTACACTAGATTTTATGAATCTCTTCAACAGACTATCATTTTCATTGAAAAGGTATGCGAATTACAAAAAGTTCTTATTCAAAACCAGTAAATTGTATCTGAATACAGCCTGGCAGAGTAGTGATCTGTCATTGCTGTAGGGGCTACAATAAACTACAATCGTAGTCCTTGACCTGTAAACCTTGTAACAATATCTACCTTGGATGAGGCAGGACTCTTCCCCGGCGTTCCTCCATCACCATCAGCTGGTGAATCCTGGTGGTAAAATAAAAACAGTTACTCTTCATTTTCACAATAATGCCATAAGTAAACAGAGTGATCTTCAGCTATGTCTTGTCGTAATTTGTACTGATCTTCAATAAAAAGCAGCGATACTGCTGGTGTCGTGAACGATGGAGTACATGTATCTACATGTATGTTTTGGAACTGTATAGCGCTTTAAATTTGCAGGGTCAATATTTCATGGTTTCGTATTCAGTACATATTCGCAGGGGTTAAATTTCGCTGTGTACCCAAATCCCATGTGCAAAATATTTTGAGCGTCATCATTTAAGGGTTCAACCTCAAAATACACGTAAACCATTAATAACACTGATCCCGAGCATTGTCATGGATCCGCCAGTGACTTCACTCAAAAGAAACTCAAATGTATGTACCTTTGTAGGAGTAAACTGTAATAAATTAATCACCTACTGTGTACACATAAATATGATGTGGCCACTTATATGTAAGTGTTGTTTTTTTACATGGACTGCCCAGTTGTCCGGTGATAATCTGATTTGAGTTCATTTAAGCTTGCATATATATATATAGTGTTGGGTTATAAGTATTTTCAACGTTGTCCGTAAAAATGGTTAAAATTTTCTATAATTTCGCTAGTGTTAAGAATTCACAGATATTAGTCAAAGCGCGAATATAGCGAAATTAAAAGCCATGCGAAATATAACCGCCATACAGTATCTCGTCGTTTTATTATCAAGATGTTTCAGCACAGCTAGACACTAATGTTTCATGTTTCTGTAATTTCAAAAAGGCGTTTGGATATTTTTTATTTTATTTTTTGCTATCTGTGCTACAATATTTGTCTTTACAAGAAAAGTACCAAAACATCCTACTTTTAAGCACTGCAACTACTGGGTACTGAAAGTGTACAGTTTGTGAAAAATGAATGTTAATTTGACGAATGTTTTCAATTCCATTGCTCTAATTAAGTAATATTTTTAAATCCATAGTTGCAAAGCATATGGATCTGATCTAACAATACTTCAAAACGTGTGACCTCATCTTTGGATTGTAAACTCTCCATTACTGTACTCAAACAGGAATATAATTCTGACAAATGAAATAATTCATTAACATTTTGTGCCGTTGATTGAAACAAACATTCCCAGTAATAACAATTTAACTGACACGTCGAAATTGTCGCCTAATCACACAATTCGGTCAAGATAATCACGAACACGGAAAAGGTATAAACATCAAACAGGTGACAGTATGTCAGACGACAGGCTGACATGGCATAGTGGGTACGTCAACGAAATATGTCACGTGCAAATGTTACCAACTATTTAAAAAACAACAAAATCATTATATGCACAACTTACAGCCATGTTGACTTGTCTATGCTACTGTCGCCAACACTATTATTGAAGTAGTTTTACTTTCTGCGTCGGTTGCTGTTTAGACGCCTTTTCATTACGGAAGTGAACGTGGAATAGTTTAGAAAAATAAAAACGACTCCAGACTAAATTTCCGGAAATTTGTGTTTATGTTTGAAAATCAAATATCAGGTATGTTATATATAGATATATATGTATTTATTGTAAAAGGTTAAATTATCTTGATATATATGACCAATTTTATCGATTTTAAAACAGATTTTACATTTTATTGAATTTTCATGAAATTAAATGGATTGAATCTGTTGTCAAATTGAAAGCTCAAAAGAAAAACTAAAATTTTGCGTTAATAATCAAATTAAATAATACTTATGAAAACATTGTTATCAAGCAGTTAATGTTCCGAAAAAGAAATTAATCACTATCGTATATTCGGTCCGGTTAATGTGTCTAAATTAGTGTATTGGCTTAATTTCCTGTCTTACCTCATATTGAATTTACTTCCGGTGTAAAACTCCCACGATCTGTCATAATATATTTCAGCAGTGATATAACGAATTCGCCAACTTGTCTGGAACTGTACGCACTTTAACAGAATGGATCAGGGACGAGCGAAGTCGGCCATGGCCACAGGGCCAGCCGTCACTTGCATGAAAACGCTTTTGATGGTGTTTAATTTTCTGTTTTGGGTAAGTGATGTTTTTGTTTGACGTTGTACAGTCTGCTGTGATACTGTTGATAATGATATGGTAACCGGATATCGTACGACATGTCACTGCTGGCTCAGGCACTGTATCCGATATACTCCTCGCTTGTTCCTTGGTAGTGTAGGTGGACAGACTTTCAACATAGAGCCTGTCAAATTGCTGATCTCAGCAGATTTAATTAAAAAGTCAAAAATATGTTACATTATATTTGTATTTACTAACCAGAACATCATGTCTTTTAGGTCTGGAATACAAGCAACATATGAACAATGAAATATCTAACACGTTTAAGACATTTTAAGCATAAAATATAGGGGTTTTTTTATTGTTGATTCCTACAATATGGCATACTGAGAATTTTTAACGTTATTATTTATTTTCATTTATTTCAATACTAACATTACAGGTATTGGCCTTTCGTTTAGGGTTCACTTAAGGATAAGGATTTGATAGAATCTGTATCTAAAGGCTGAAAGCATCTAGAACATTATAATGTAATTAGTAATTATCAGTTTTTTGAAGTATTGTTAGCTTTACACATTTTTTCAGCTTGATTTTTCTGCTGTAAATATTTATATATAAAAATTCAAAATATTTTTTTTTTATTTCATGGCAAAGGAAAGAAGTAATCCCTATAAAAAAATCTTATTGTAAAAATACAACGTATGCATATATGTTGCATAAGAAATTGGTTCAGCTCATTTATTTCTTAACAGTTTTAAAGTAAGTAACATGTTAGTTAATTAAGTTCAACAATATTTAAATCAACAGTTGAATAAAGGACAGGAGTAACATGTCTTCCTAGGCTCACAGATAACTGGTTTGAATGCTAATTGATATTCTATTCCTGTCTACTCAACTCTACCTGTCTGGAGTGGAGTACGATGTATATTTAATCAATGTAATCTGGGTAGGGTATTGCAGTCTCTGTGCTGCATTGTGTTTAAAGTAGGACAGCACTAGGGAAGAGCTGTTAAAAAGACACAAACCTGCAACAACAGAACATAACCAGCCTCAAACACAAATACATGTCATCACACACCAATGCACTTGGGTCCAATTGTCTGTGTTACCCTGTATCTCAGGTACCCTGTATCCGGGGTACCGCTAATAAGTGGTAAAACGCTGCTTTCTGATAGTCGGCTATGAGTCATTCTGCCACAGGATTTCACCCCTCCAAATAGTACTCAGCTTATTGATAAGGGTGTCAAAATGAATGTTAGATGTAGAATTTGCTTAACATTTATATTAGATTTTATGTACTATATTTTCCATTTTCGTTTTTTCATAATGTGTGTGTTGCAGATTCCCCATAAATTTATGTAATTTTCACATATACTCCTAACAAGGTTTTTCTTGTCAACTTGTACAACTAAAAGCTGTTGTGTAAACAAAATATTTGATTAAAGCCTTGATTCATAGATAAACTTTGTAAACATCTTACAAAATCTTACCTACAGTGTACCGTCTCCATCAGCTTTTAGGTAGAGTCGAAAACACAACATTGGTTTGTTAGTTATGAAAGAGGAATCTCCAGTGTATATGAAAATGTGTTTGTGTTATTTCAGATCACAGGCATTGCCATCCTTGCCCTTGGCATTTGGACAAAGGTGGACTTGTATAAGTATATGGAACTTTCCTCCATCTACTACAAAGAATCACCGTACATCCTGATCGGAGTCGGGGCTGTCATTGTCCTTGTTGGCTCGCTGGGCTGCTGTTGCACAGTCAAGGGAAACTCCATTTTACTCTATGTAGTAAGTTCAATTTCACATGTCATTTTTGATACTAACCAAAAACTGCTCAAATGACTTATTGCTCTGCAGCTTTTAGGATTTTCCTTGGACTGGCTTAATAAGAAGGTTATATATAAAGAGGCTGGGGGTCAGGAGGCCAACTTGTTGGCCTCATTTAAATGTGTCTAAGTAGGTATATGGTGGCTAGAGGTCAGGGGACCTAACTGTTGCCCCAGTTTAAATGCTTCTAAGTAGGTATATGGAGGCTGGGGGTCAGGAGGCCTACCTGTTGCCCTTGTTTAAATGTTTCTAAGTAGGTATATGGAAGCTAGAGGTCAGGAGGCCTACCTGTTGCCCTTGTTTAAATGTTTCTAAGTAGATATATGGAGACTAGAGGTCAGGGGACCTACCTGTCTGTTGCCCTTGTTTAAATGTTTCTAAGTAGGTATATAGAGACTAAGATGCAGGGGGCCTACCTTTGGCCCTGGTTCGGGGACCTATCTGTGGCCCTGGTTCAGGGACCTATCTGTGGCCCTGGTTTAGGGACCTATCTGTGGTCCTGGTTTAGGGACCTATCTGTGGTCCTGGTTCAGGGGACCGACCTATATCTGTGGTTTAAGTATTTATAACTAGGTACATGTATATGGAAGCTAGAGGTCAGGGGACATACCTGTTACCCTTGTTTAAATGTTTCTAAGTAGGTATATATATAGAGGCTACGATTCAGGGGACCGACCTATATCTGTGGTTTAAATATTTATAACTAGGTATATGGAGGCTAGAGGACATACCTGTTACCCTCAGGTATAAAAATAAGCCTGGTACCTCACAGGAACTGCTGTGGAGCACTGGGCTAGTGTTTAGGCCTTTGTATCATTTTAGGAGACAGACTAGAAAATACTGTCCTATTTTAGTACAAGTATCTATTCAATTTCCATAGCACTTGATATACATATGATGATGAAATTTACTGTTGCAGGAGTATAGCTTTATTAGGTATACCTTGATACATAATTTAAGGCATTTAATAGAGAAATATAACTCAGTATTACATTCAGTTGTGTGAAAGTGACCTTGTCTAGAATTGATGAACACATATAATGGTTCTAATTGCATCTGGTGGAGCAGATGTGGGACGCTTCAAAATGTCCTCCTGGTAATATATATACACGTGTTGCTTTTGTGCCTGACTTTGTTACTAACACCAGGCGACCCAGTATTGCCAATGTTAACAGGGTATATTAGTGGTACAGTGATAAATACAGAGAGATATGTGAATGACGGAGTCTAATTGATATAGCTGCAATACATCATTGATTAGCTGTGCGCATACATGGTTATTGTCTGTGTTCAGTACCATTAAATAGAAATGAGCTGACAAAGTAGGACAAAGCATTAGGTCTCTGTATAATATACATTGTAGTTCACTGTATGTATTCTGTCTTCAAAGGCATCAGCTATTTTAAAGTAAATAGCCTTATCTTTTGCTACTAAGGTCAGAGGGGTCAATTATGTTAAATTATATATATAGCACCCTCTAAATAATACCAATCAGTCAAAAGTGATGATATTTGGCCAGTAGCACATGCATGGATTAAGGGCAATTATGTTTGTTCAAATGAATGACCTTGACCTTCATCGAAGGTCACAAGGGTTATTTATGTCAAAATATTTAAATATCACCCTCTTAATAATGCCAATCAGTCAAAAGTGATGATATTTGGCCAGTAGCACATGCATGGATTAAGGGCAATTATGTTTGTTGAAATGAATGACCTTGACCTACATCGAAGGTCACAAGGGTCAAAAGGAGATGTGTACATATTATAACAGTGCTAACTTGAGGTTATGTACATATCCTTGGCTAGCAGGAGATATATACATTGTATTAGTTTACAGTGTTTAGTTATTTGTACTCTGTCCCTCTGCCATTATATGTGTACATTGTATTACAGTTTAATTTGTTTTACTCTGTTTCCAAGGTTACCAGGAGGTATATAAATTGTATTACAGTGTTTACTTATTTGTACTCTGTCCCATCTGCCATCATATGTGTACATTGTATTACAGTTTAATTTGTTTTACTCTGTTTCCAAGGTCACCAGGGGACTTGAACAGTGTATTACAGTCTTAACTTGTTGAAATCTGTCTCCTAGGCCATCATATATGTATATTGTATTACAGTGCTAGCTTTGTTGTACTTTGACTCTTCGGCCATTTGTACATTGACTTGTTGTTCTCTGTTTCATTCGACCTTGGTCACAGGGGGATATGTACATCGTATTACAGATTTAGTTATAAAATAGAGCACGAGGAAGTGTGTACATTATATATTGCCAATTTAATTCAAGTACTATTGTATTCTATCTACTAGACCATCAGGAAGTTTGTCCATTGTATTACAGAGTTAACTTTAATCAGTTGATGTAAATGGTAACTTGTTGTACTTGATGGTTTTCTCAGATTTGTAACCATACACGTTATAGTGTCGGAGTTATAGGTAATATCTCCGACACCGCTATACATACGAAGGCTATCGTACACATAACAGGATGAGTCTTGCTGATACAGCCTCCGGACAGACAATGGTTACACTATTTGTGTCTGTCATTAATGAGTAGTTTATTTGATGAGGTCCGACCTTCGTAGTGAAATGGTTGTTAAGATGGACACCACAGACTCATTTCCTGGTGTAATTCGTGAAGGCTTATATTGATTTTGTCCACGAATATTGGTTCCCTTGGAAACATGATTGCAGGAGATTTCTGTGATGTTGCACAATGATTTCCTAAATTGGAAGTTTTAGCAAGTTATGTTTTGCATCCATAATTTTCTTCTGACTGCATGCATTCAGATCAATACGACTTCCTGTAGTTCTGTTCATGTCTGGCCATGAGCTGCCCTGAAGCTGGATTTGCCATGTAACAGATAACATATATAACACAGGCAATCTCATGTCCGATCAGTGGAGGGTCACAAAAATATTGGGGCACAGGCATTGCAAACACATCCTGATCTTCTGTAAAACTTGCATATTTTGTTCAATTGACAGGAAAAAATTTGAGCTGAAAATTGGTGAAAAAAAGGTTCTGCTCATCTTAAGCATATATTGAATTTTCTCTAAAATAATTATTTTGTCTGTGAAAATGTGTTCCGGAACTTAAGATTCATAATAATTCACAATAGAGCAACCAACTATAAAAGGGAATACCTTAGACCTGCTTATCACAAACCAACCCTGTTTACTTGCTCTGAGGTCATGTCAGGCATGGCCAATTGCAACCATGACATTTTTTTTCAAATACGCACCATAATCAAAGAAACATACCCCAAAAAATATTCCTATATACAGAAGGGACACATTGAAAAGGTACGTTTCAAAGCTTCTTGAGATCAAAAACAAAAGATGACAATGTAGGTCATCTTTGGAATATTACCTTGAAATCAAAAACTGCAGATACAAGTAAATGACCATGCATCATACAATGTCCTAAAACCAAAAGCAAACTTGTCATGGTCACTCCTAACATAAAGAAACTATTAACCCTTTCACCACTGTAGACCATAATGGATTCCTCCAGATCAATGCACGGTAGAGCCTACTAAAGTTACATAGGGGTGAAAGGGTTCAGGAAATGAGACAGAAAATGAAACACTGCATAAAGGGAAAGCTTTGAGTGATCTTGTGTTCTGGCACATTATAGAGGGTATTTCAGTATCCCCACCAAACCCACACCCCAGCAAATGTCTCAGATTGTGCCATGAAAAACTTCTGTTCATAAACATAAGAAATCCCCCCAAAAAATGGTGTACCATCACTTAAAAGAGATTGTTAACTCACTCGTGACCATTCCAGTAAGGCAGAGACACTCAGTACAGTAGATTTCTCTTATTATCCCTTTTATTACTGTATTCGTTTTCACTGATCAGCATTTAAAACTATAATGTAGTAACATGGTCTCTACAAGCTATACCAACGATGCAGTATTCCATCAAAAACTCAACATCCTGTCATGTCGTCATGTCCCCCTTTAAATTTGATATAACAAACAAAAGTATTAGGAAATTTCTTCAATACATGAACCTTAAAAAAAGTAAAGCTGCTGGCCACGATGAAATAAAAACGAAAAATCATCGAAGAACTGGTGGAGGAAGTATCACCAATCTTTACTTAAATATTCAGAAAACCTCTTTTCACCGGTAAAGCCCATTCGACTGAAAATATGCCATGTATCCCCTGTCTATCAAAAGGCATACAATTGGACCCAGTAAACTACAGACCAGTATTCCCTACTTGTGTATATCATACTTGCCAACCCTATTTTGGAGAAAGTCTCCTGATTTTGGACCCTGAAAAGGAGCATTTTCAACCAGTGACTTGGCTGAACTATTCCTATTTCTTAGGAACTGATTATTTAATCCAAAGGAACAGCTCAAAAGATCCGATTTAAAAGTGTTATTATTTGCCTGGGGGTGTATACACATATTTTATCTATGCATTTAAATTTTTAAAAGTTGGAAAGTATGGTATGTAAAAAAGTTATTAGAATACATAAATTATGTAGTAACATTATGAATTATGCTGATAGGTATAACAATCTTAATCTTATTCAACATGGGTTTCAGAAATTTTCGTCTTACGAAATCCAATAGAATTTATTGATATAAAGTGGCAAATGTACTGGTGATGGATTTCTCAAAGCTTTTGATAAGGTTAATAACTCTGTTCTCCAACAACAAACTTACATAGCTGTCAACCCTCCTTCATTTTGACCAAAAACCAATTTCCCTCAAAACTCCCTCATGAATTCAAGTCCAAACTCACACAAACTCTAAATCTACATCCTGTGGTCAAATGATCTCCTAGTTACTGCAGGGTTTGTGTAATGATCATATAACTGGTGTGTCTGAATCAAATGAATGTATTTTGGAGTTATTTTGATACANAACTGGTGTGTCTGAATCAAATAAATGTATTTTGGAGTTATTTTGATACATTAAAAGGGAAAGATATATTGAGCAAAGCAGTTTAATTTAGTCGCATTTCACCTACTTTTTTCCTCTTTGGAAATGAGGAATGAGGGAGATCTCCCTCATTGGAGGTTTCAGAAGTTAACACCTATGAACGTATATATTATGGTCAATAGAAGCCTGTTGATAATTGGCTTGAAGATATCCTCTGTGATTAAAAACAGGCCGTTGTTGTTGAGGAAAGAAATCAGGTACCCTAGATGTCAAATCTGGAGTTCCCCAGGGGTCAGTTATTGGACCATGTGTCCTTCTATCTGACTGAGACTTTTTGCTGATTATGCTGCTTTTTATCTAGCTTTGACTGGTGAGGCTGATGGAAAAATACCACAGGAGGACCTAGACAAATTAGTTTTATTGGAGAAATCGTGGGAAATTGCCTTTTAATTTCACCATGATAATGCTTTTATCAACATCAAATAACAAAATGTAGTAAATAGCCAAACACTGCTTGGGGGAAGAAATGGAACGTGTTCTAAAATCAAAATATCTAGGCCTTACCATCCAAGCTTAAAATGGGACACCCATATTAATAACATCTGCAGTAAAACATATTCAACTCTGGGCTTCGTGTGGAGAAATGTCAAAATTGTCGCCACAGTCACACGAAGACAGCAGGCATACAAACATTAGGAAGACCATCTTTGGAGAAGTGCTTTCAAGGTGACATAAAAACAAAATTGAAATGGTTCAATGAAGGGCAGCCCAGTTTGTTTCCAATAGTCACCAGAATAATTAAGACATGTGTAGGGCATATTCTTAACCAATAGACCTGGTAATGCCTGGAAAACAGACAGAAATATATAAGACTTGCTACAGCGTACACAATCATTCGTGACAGAAGCAGTATCAGAAAAGCATCATTATATACAGTTCCCCCTATTTGTTACATGATAAAATTTCATCAGAACCAAAATATTTCTTCTAAGTACAATTGTGTAGAACAGAAATATATAGACATGTCTTCCCCTACTTGTTGCACTATAAAAGTTAATCTGAACTGAAATTCATTCAAAATTCAATCATGTAGAACAGAAATTTAGAGACAGTCTTCCCAGATACTATATAAGACTGGACTAACATCCCATTTGTATTTGTGTACCACATCCCTGTAGTCCTAGCTTGGATTTAAAAACTACGTATACTAGTGGATTATAGGTATTTAAATTCAACTTTCAAAATCTGGTTGGATCTATGGTAAAATTCAGTGTAAAAGCCTGTGAATTGGTTACAGGTGAGCCGATGGTGGTGGCTCTGACAAAATCAATAGCAGTTGTAGTAGATAACAATGTGTTGTCAGTGACGAAAGCTTTAAAGTGCATGTGATGTTAGCATGATGCTCAAACCTGCTCGACACAGCAGGTCTATAATCTGTAGCCCTGTCCCTATCGATTCTTGGAAACAATTAGATTACGTATCTCAGTCTAAAGCTTGATATTTTCAGAATTTCTTTGGAAATAGCAAACAACTTATACTGAAAATATGTGTGATTCATGAAAGTTGTTTATAAAAGATATAATCTTAAAAGTTTGTTTAAAAAATTATCTATTTTTATATTTAGAGTATCTTAATACATATAAGTATCCTGGTATAGACAAAAGCTGTATATGTTTACAGTGTTTTATCCCTGTATGTAATCATGGAATGCTGTGTCCATGTACAGTGGTTATATTTCACCCTGGGTTTTAATTTCGTGATATTCACACTTTGACTAATATCCCAAAATTCTAAACACCAGCGAAATTATAGAAAACGTTAACCACTTTTACAGACCTTATCACAACATGTTGAGAATGCTTATAACCCAACGCTGTTATGCAAGCTTAATCAACTCAAATCAGTTTATCACCGGACACCTGGGCAGTCCATGTAAAAACAGCACTTACTTATAAGTGGCCACATCATATTTATGTGTACACAGTAGGTGATTAATTGATTACAGTTTACTCCTACAAAGGTACATACACATTTGTTTTTTTTTCGAGTGAAGTCACTGGCAGATGACGACACTCAGGATCAGTGTTTTCAAACAGTTTACCTGTATTTCAAGGTTTAACCCTTAAATGATGACACTCAAAATACTTTGCATGACACATGGGATTCGGGTGCACAGCAAAATTTAACCCCCGCGTATATGTACTGAATACGAAACTGCAAAATATTGACCACGCATATTTAAAGTGCTATACAGCATGTAATTACGCTACTATACTATGTCACCATATGTAATTACAAAATGATGTAAACCTGTATGTAAATACTGTATGCTGTATCTCTTTGTAATTACAGTAATATGTATCCCTGTTTAATTTACAGTATGCTGTATTCCTAGTCGTGGTGTTTGTGGTAGAACTGAGTGCCGGAGCAGCAGGATTTGTTTACCAGAGCAAGGTGGGTCCAACATACATGTATGTCACTTGCAATATATATATATATATATTAATAAAATCAATTACCTGTAACTGAGCGAGATCGGATTATGTCAATTGAGGGTTAAGTTTCTGTAACAAAATCCCAACCGAGGCGTAAGAACCTTTGTCTGAGACTGAGATAACCCGATCATGCTCAGTTACAGGTAATTGATTCTTTTTCTCGCACCTTTCAGTTCGAAAAAAAAATCAATTTTGCTAAAAACTTCAAGTATCCCGTCTGGGGCCTCAAATGATAATGACCTCTTTACTACTTAAGCTACATTTCAATGCTTCCGCTGTGAAATGTATTCTGTTCTTACATAGATGACAACGTATTTCACAGTGCAGATTATATTTATCTACAACATCAAATATCTAACAACATCAAAACTAGATACATACATAACAACAAAACAGAACATGTATAATGCAGATTGTCAATTTCAAGCAGTTAACGCGCGGATGAATACATCGCGAAATAAATTCTGCGAAATGTCACGTAAAGGTGCAAGACAGATCAGACGAGATAGAAAAATCTAGCAAGGGGTATGACGTGGGATATCTCTGTCTGAGGTGCGAGAAATATATATCTTAGTGCATCTCTGTCTGTCCTTTCCCATAAATATTATAATTCTTAACTAGAGGTTTTTATGTAAGAACACTGTCAATATTCCTAATCAAATCACCCTTCGTTCGTGGTCCGTCATCGGTCGGTGGTCCATCGTTCATCCGTGGTCTGTCCTTAAACAATTCTTGTTATCGCTATTTCTCAGAAAGCACTGAAGGTATCATTCCCAAATTTGATACGATAATTACCCTTGGTCTCTAGTTGTGCATGTTTACTTTTAAGACTGATCGGATAGACAAAGTGGCTGACAGGTAGCCATCTTTGATTTTGATAGTTAAGGTTTGTTAGTGTTATTTCTCAGGAAGTACTGAAGGAAACTTTCTCAAATTTGATATGTAGGTTCCCCTTGATCCGTTATTGTGCATGTTCAGTTTTAAGATTGATCGGATAAATAAAATGGCCAACAGGTGGCCATCTTGGTTTTTGACATTGAAGGTTTGTTAGTTTAACGATCTACACATTTATTTATGTCAAACATCAATAAAAGATACAATTGATACATACTGTGTTGTTACCTGAGTTTATGTGAAAAGTATTATTGAATAGGTAACTGTTAATAAAGAAAGCTTAGCCGAAATCCTATGCCAGAGAATCGCCGATCAACTTACGTTTCGACCTCTCGGTGCTTTTTCACCATACTATTACGAAAATGTAGTTGTTCAATTTAAGCTCCGTTCCATGTAAGTTCTGTTAGGTTTTTATAACCCTGAGTTGACAGTTTGATACTTTGAACATTTTGAGCCAGCCCTACCCCCAAGGGCTGTAGGGTGGGGCCCAAACGAGTCGGTGTGCTGAAATTTCTTCAATTTCCTTGTTTAGAATCAGAGGTGCTAGTTTCAAATACTTTTTAGTCTTAAATCTGTATGCTAGATATTGGATAAGGTGGTTTTATTATTTTTTGTCACTTTGAATAATATTTCTGTTCGTGTTAAAAACAAAATCAACTCTCTGTATAAATATATCAGGTGACCGTTAAGGCCCATGGGCCTCTTGTTTTGAGAGTGATCATAAAAACAAAATGGCCGAAAGAAGAACTTAACAGATCTTTCTCATATTGCAATGATCAGTTCTATTTCTTTCACATTAAGTACTGTACTAGTAAATATGTGAAATGCCAAACTCACTTTAAACTTTTATACACAGCAGTATTAAGTTTAGATCAAAAGTTACCTCAAGGTGCATTTTCTATTAACATCACTCGATCAAACAGATAAGAGAAAAGATCAAACTGACACAGAACTAATGAAGATGGTACAATGGTGGGCACCAAGACCCCCCTGGGATCTCTTGTTTCAGTTGGAGGCTGTTTTAATCAGATCACTGACAATATTGCTAGTAACAGTTTAATGTTAGAGATTGTTTTATTCAGATCACTGTCAGTATGCTATTTTCAGATTGAGACAGTTTCAATCATATCACTGTCAGTAATTCTATTTTCATTTAGAGGCTTAATAAACTATATCACTGTCAATATTGCTGTTTCTTGTTGGATCTTGTTTTATTCAGATCACTGTTAATATTACTATTTTCAGTTGGAGGTTATTTTTGTCAACTCACTGTCAATAAAACTATTTTGAGTTGCATCTTGTTTCATTCAGATCACTGTTAATATTGCTGTTTTCAGTTGGAGACTGGCTTCAAGGAAGGCCTTCAGACGGCCCTGCATAAATACCAAGTGAACACAGAAATAACAGCGGCCATGGATGACCTACAGACCCAGGTAACCATGACAACCACACATCTGGTTAATTACACCGTTTTAGATGATGACTTAACTGGCAAGGGTGTTTGCCTATCTGATATATATTTGTATTAATGTGCCATCTGTCTACTTGATAGTTGGTAATATTACCATGAATTACAATCTCTGTGAATATATATTTACAGTCACAAACGAAAATGAAATAGAAAAACATTTCATGTTTGCTGTCATATAATAAGATAAAGAAAACAATTCAATATCACATTTTTACGTTATTTTCGCAGAACACTTATAAAAAAAATTCCATCATCCGAATATAATAGTACCCTCTGAAGTGCGATATTTTTACGTTGCCATGTTGAATGGAAATTTAATCCCTGAAAACTAGTTCTGATTGTGACAATACGGGAATATTAGCCTTATGAAATTAAGTAAGTATATAGTAATATATTTCCTGTTCGTATGTGTCAACTCTGATAGCTGTACTGTGTGCTGTACGTATATTGTCTCTATGGAGGCACGGAAGTCTAGTGGTAGGAAACCAGACTCGTAAACTAAGGGTTGCAGGTTCGAGTCACATCACTGCACTATGTTGTATCCTAGAACAAGATATTTTACTCCGCTTGTTCCAGTCTACTCAGTTGTAAATGAGTATGTGGTTGGGCAGTGCCAGAGTTGTTGAATGCTAGCTGTGAGTACCGAAATGGCGGCAGCACCGGCTGTATGCACCCTAGGGCGTTGAGAAAGATATTGGCTGGTTGCAAAGGCCCTATAACCACGGATGATAATTTGTGAACCGCTTTGGGACGACCTACGCACTAGGTTGTGGTAAAGGGGTATATAAGAACCTTGATTTATTGTTACTATTATGACAATTTTATTGTGTTTTCACCCTTCAACATTACATCCACTGTGAAAATCACATCTCTAAATCATAAACATACTTTACAGCTCAAGTGCTGTGGAATCCACGGCTACACGGACTGGGTAAACAGGACCACCACGACTAAAGGCAAGATTCCCAGTTCCTGTTGTGTGGACCAGACCAAATGCCCCACTGACCCCTTGCCAGACAACGTAAAAGACTGGTACTCGAAGGTAGGATGCTGATGTCATTTAATAAACTTTGGATGAGGTCAATACCATATTCAATGAAGCTGAAAAAACAGGATTTCTATACTGTACATATTGATTAAGACACAGAACTATTCTTTATACTGCAGTCCTAGCCTTTTTAAAACAAGGGAAACTCTTTCATTTCTAATATATATTTAGTAAAGAGGCCGAAGAAGACAGAAAGGCATAGCAGTCAGTCTTGTGAAATGAACGCAATTTTCCTTGTTTCAGAGGCGGCCAAGTGCAAAATATTCGTTTCAGATCACAATTATACAGTTTACTTTGTATTATATGATAAAAAGATTCTGTCATTCGTTTCCCTTCATATTAGATTTATGATACTCGTTATGGATTTTTCATATTTGCTCGCCTCTAATATGAAGGGAAACTTCTGACAGATCCTCTATATATATCAATCCCTAATTATGACTGGTTTGCAGTTTTATATGTCTACTTTATATGGACATTCAAGTTGCTCCATCATCAATTTCGGCTGTACAAATTAGTCTGTACTAAATAAAGTATTCAGATAAAAATCTGTCAAACACTGGTATGTCTACCTGAAAACCTTCAATGTAGAGTGACATGAAAAACAACAGCCAAACATTTGTGAAATAATTCATCAAAACTTCCTTTTTGTTTTCTTTCCAGGGCTGCTACTACACAGTTGTAGATTTCATGCAAAGCAACATGGGGATAATAGGGGGTGTTGCCCTCGGGATCTCTTTCTTCCAGGTGAGATTTTGCTGATTAATTCTTTCTGTTGTCAAATATATGCTTTATCATTGTTGTAACCCCCAATCCCTACTTAGTCAGGGGGGCATATATAGTGATTGCTTTGAGTGTGCCGCAATTCGTCCATCTTTCTGTAGTTAACAACTTGCGTAAAAGATATCTCATGAACCCTCAATGAATTCAGTTAATATTTACACCATTGTAGGGTAAACTGGAGTTCTACACCTGATTAGATTTTGTCATTCAGTAGTCAAGGTAAAAGGTTAAAAGGTCAAATTCAAGGATCTTTTTTTTTTTTTTCCAAGTAAAAACCTTGTATACAAGAAATGTGATGAACCCCTCAACAAAATTAGTTTATATTTACGTCATAGTATGGTATTTAGGTAACTATCAATGTCTACATACACCGGATTAGATTTCGGTGGTCAAAGATAAAACTAATTAAGGACTATGTCTTTTATACCATTTCATTATAGGGGTGAGGGTGTTATACCTGTATGTCTCCACTCATTTTGTTTCTATTTTGTACATGTATTTGTAAGGAAGATTACGATACCTATCGTCCTGGATTTCCTATTAATTACAGGTGTTATAATTAGTTCTCTCCTGTCTTTATACCTGCATGTCATCAACAGTTTACTCATTCACCCCTGAAATTTTATAATGAACTATTCCAACCTTTGAATTGGAGGATTTCATAGGTGTCTTCAGAGGTGAATGAGTTAATTACTGTACAGGTTTTTGTCCCCTGTCAATATACCTGTGTGTTAATTACAGGTATTAGCACTCACCTGTGTATATAACTCTATAATCATTACAGGTGTTTGGTGCTCTCCTTGCGTGCTGTCTGGCTAAGAACATCAACAAGGCCAAGTATGAACAGGTTGCTTAGAACATCAAAGATGCTGGAAAAACTCCTCTGCTTCTTTATAGCAGCAGACAAGTGACCAATGGAAGAAGGGATTAGGAAATGTTAACACTAAATCACACCTCCCTATAATAACACTTAATGTAACAGTTTTTCTGAGATATAACTGTCAAGCTTGGAGCAGAAGTGACAGTTCCGCAATACTTGTAAGAGAGACAGGTCTCACTAATCTATCACTTGTCTGTATGTGAAGTGCTTAATCCAGTATAAAATACATGTATTAAAATTTAATAGAATGTTGCAATTTTAATTCATTCACCCCTGAAATTTCCTAATGAACTATTCCGACCTTTGAATAAGAAGAGTTCAAATGTGTCTCCAGGGGTAAATGAGTTAATAGTCCACCATTGATAACCCTCTTCATTGTCTTGAACAGCTGACATAAATACAGTGCGTGTTATAGGCAAAATTATCAAAATATACAGCTGTCGAGCCAGAAAAGTTACTCTGAAATGACGATATAATGGAAACTGTAAGTGTTAAATCAGACAGAATAGGAAACAAAGTATACAAGCCACGTTTTTGGTAAATATAGAGTAGAGTGGTGCATTTACAAGTTGTCTGCCCTTGTGTGTAAACATTCTTATTTCTTCATCTTCATCTTTACACCTTCCTCCTTCTTTATGCAAAAGAATGTAAATCTGTTGTAATGATCTTGTGTATATTTTTGATAACTCATGGATCTGAAAATTATTTCACGTAAAATATGAAGTGAAAAGTTATACTAGTATATTGTAATATTAAAATCTCCCAAAAACATCCTCTTATTAATTTTCTGATGTTAAAGGTATAATTTTCTTTAAAATTAAGCTTTTTATAGGAAACGATGCCATATCATGTATTAGTGTTTCATGGATAATTAGTGACGTTAGTTTGGTTTGTGGGTGATAAGAAACGTAGATAATATAAATACAGTATCATGGTGTAATTCAGAGTGTTTCAGCTTAATTCATTAACCATGCCTTTTTTCTTTGTATCAAATATAGATTCCTTCAATATAGATTTGGCTGTTTTATTAAAGGAACTTGGTTATACAAAGATAGCCACATATTGCACTGAATATTTTTTTCAAGTATTAAACCTAGTCATGTACAACATATCAAAATATGAACTGATTTGATCCCGACTTTGTTTATTTTTGAATATTTTCCTTGTTTTCGATAAGCAATGAAGTTATATGTACATTTGTATTTTGCTATTATTTAATTGAATTTAGATTAATTTAAAACACGAAAATCAATATCAAAATTTTAAAAAAAAATTGCAGAGTTCAAATCAAAAAGTAATCCCACCAATTTATCTTAATTGATTTGTTAAGAGGTCACAGACAGAGTTACTTTGTTGGAAAAAAGTAACATATTTACTGTTGATGTTTAAGTCATGTTAGTATTTTGAATCTCCTTGTAATGAATGTAAAATTCTGTATGTATACAGAGACCTACTTGGGTTTCTAGTGGTTACTACTAGGCTTTAGCTTGTGTGTAGGTTGTCATGGTTATAGTGATCATTGTTGTTGCTATGGTGATTTATTTCTGTCCATACAAAACTAGTTCCATTTGCATTTAGTTGTCATGGTTACTGGGACCAATTTTTGTTGTACAATGAACTCCCATTCAGATTAGCTGCAATGGTTTAATATTAGAAGGACGTGTTCTTCTTTCCTATGACTTTTTTTCACTGTTGTTACAGTACATAACTTCTCTATTTATATTTAGTTGCCATGGTTACGGGGAGTCATGTTATCGTTGCTATGGTAACCCAATCATCGTTTTATGGTTATGGGAAGTCTATATAGATTGAAGTACCTAGTTTGTTATCTAGACTGTTTAAACATAGATTATATACCGATTGTTCTTGATGGTACCGACAATTTGCATAATGAATATTTTACAATGAAAATTTATTGAAGAATTTCAGTAACGAATTTACATAATTATGTGCAATATAAGATTGGAGACTGAATATCGTCTTTCTGTTCAAGATTACTTTATTATTACATAAACAGTACATTTGTGCCATAATAATCCTCAGCAAGTATCATGTAAAATAGTTAATTATTATTTTTATACCGACATGTACATGTATTTACTTTTCTCTTGTAAATGCTCTAGATGAAACATCAATTCAGAACTTTAGGATTGTGTAGAAGCACAGACTAAGACATGTGAATGTTTTCCGATCAGAACTTGTTTAGTTTTTTCCGTCAATTTTTCACGGTCCAGTCTTGTGTTCACCAAATCAGAACTGTTACAGGAATCCAGAATTGATTTCAATTGATGTTCATGTGCTTGACAGAAATGGTAACTGTAAGAAATATTTGCTTGTTTTAAATGCAGGAGGAACCAAACAAAAGCCATCTGAAATGAAAGCTGCATTTTCGTTGATGTTGAGAATGTAAATAAAGGATGAGAATACAGATTCTTTGAAATGATTTACAACCTTCTTGCTTACAAATATTTTCTTTAATTAAAGGCTCTTGAGCATTGTAAGCCAATATTTCATTTTGGTCACCTCTGACAGTTGCCACATTTGTGCAATAATATGTGATGTGTTTTCTTGTCTTTGGTGCTGTATAGGATCTGGATGGCAAATCAATGCCAATAAGTCCTTTGTTGTGAAAAAGTCTAAACTAATGCCATGTTGATCACCTAAACCAAGGTCAGTTTTATGAGATAAAGTTTTTGATCACAATCAGACATATCCTGTCTGACAGGGTCTCTCATACTGCAACTCTTTATTAGGCAGGTATGAGGACTAATTAAAAATGTCAAGGTCACAGCTTGTTCAGACCGAATAGAACTCTAACTAATGAGGTCAAGGTGATAGATTATCTAGACTGGAGAGTAAGGGATGAGGACTAACAAATGATGTCAAGGTCATAGATTGTCTAGACTTGATAGTCTTTTTATGTCATAGCTTGTTTGGACTGGATAGTTAGGGATGATATCTAACTAATGATGCCAAGGTCATATATTATCTAGACTGGAGAGTTAGGGATGAGGACTAACAAATGATGTCAAGGTCATAGATTGTCTAGACTGGATAGTTAGGGATGAGGACTAACAAATGATGTCAAGGTCATAGCTTGTTTAGACTGGATAGTTAGGGATGAGATCTAACTAATGATGTCAAGGTCATAGATTATCTAGACTAGTTAGGGATGAGATCTAACAAATGATGTCAAGGTCATAGCTTGTTTAGACTGGATAGTTAGGGATGATTTCTAACAAATGAGGTCAAGGTCATAGCTTGTTTAGATTGGATAGTTAGGGATGAGGACTAACAAATGATGTCAAGGTCATAGCTTGTTTAGACTGGTTAGTTAGGGATGAGGACTAACAAATGATGTCAAGGTCATAGCTTGTTTAGACTGGTTAGTTAGGGATGAGGACTAACAAATGATGTCAAGGTCATAGCTTGTTTAGACTGGATAGGTAGGGATGAGATCTAACAAATGATGTCAAGGTCATAGCTTGTTTAGACTGGATAGTTAGGGATGAGATCTAACAAATGATGTCAAGGTCATAAACTTTCCAAAGATTCACTAGGGTTTTTTTCTTCTGTTTCTGTACCCTGTATCTGATCAAAATGAAATTCGATCAATGAAATGGATTTTTTTTTTATTTTTTTTACTACAACCAGTGTTTCTTCATTTATCATTTCAGTACCCTTGTATATTCAACTTTGTTAACTTTTTCTATGCTTTTTCTTTAGCTTGTGACAAAATATTATTTGAAAAGAATTTTTATTATTTCAAAATTTGATTGCTATATATATATATGCGACTTGATCTTCCAGTCTTTTAAGTGAACACAAGCTGTCTCCATATTGTCCTTTAATGAGTATTTTTAATTATCAAAATATCTTGCACTGGTATCATAGTACAGTATCAGTAATCTACACTTGTCTCTTGTATGTTATTACTCCTAGAGATATATTGGACCTTTCCTCAAGTCTTTGTTAAACTTTTAAAAGATTATAATTGTTGATATATGTTATATACACAGTTGATATAGATTATACACTATATAAGATCATAGACATTTTCTAAAGTATATACTCACTTGTAGTAGTATTGTGTTGGAATAAATATAATGTAGAAAATATTAACTTTTTGTTGTCTTTACAAAATGCGAGGAACTGTACAACATATTGAAACAAAGAGCAATTCCTGTCTTAGATACCAGGAAGAAAATAATGTTTATGGGTTATAAATAGAAATGAATAATTCATAAAAACCTGTTGTTGATCAGTGAGTTTGACAGATCCTTTAAGACTGGTTACATCAGTAAGTTTGTTAGATCCTTTAAGACTGTGGCTACATCAGTGAGTTTGTCAGATCCTTTAAGACTGTGGCTACATCAGTGAGTTTTTCAGATCCTTAAAGACTGGCTACAACAGTGAGTTTGTCAGATCCTTAAAGACTGGCTACATCAGTGAGTTTGTCCGATCCTTTAAGACTGTGGCTACATCAGTGAGTTTGTCAGATCCTTTAAGACTGGCTACATCAGTGAGTTTGTCAGATCCTTTAAGACTGGCTACATCAGTTAGTTTGTCAGATCCTTTAAGACTGGCTACATCAGTTAGTTTGTCAGATCCTTTAAGACTGGCTACATCAGTGAGTTTGTCAGATCCTTTAAGACTGGCTACATCAGTGAGTTTGTCAGATCCTTTAAGACTGGCTACATCAGTTAGTTTGTCAGATCCTTTAAGACTGGCTACATCAGTTAGTTTGTCAGATCCTTTAAGACTGTGGCTACATCAGTGAGTTTGTCAGATCCTTTAAGACTGGCTACATCAGTGAGTTTGTCAGATCCTTTAAGACTGGCTACATCAGTGAGTTTGTCAGATCCTTTAAGACTGGCTACATCAGTGAGTTTGTCAGATCCTTTAAGACTGGCTACATCAGTTAGTTTGTCAGATCCTTTAAGACTGGCTACATCAGTTAGTTTGTCAGATCCTTTAAGACTGTGGCTACATCAGTGAGTTTGTCAGATCCTTTAAGACTGGCTACATCAGTGAGTTTGTCAGATCCTTTAAGACTGGCTACATCAGTTAGTTTGTCAGATCCTTTAAGACTGGCTACATCAGTTAGTTTGTCAGATCCTTTAAGACTGGCTACATCAGTTAGTTTGTCAGATCCTTTAAGACTGTGGCTACATCAGTGAGTTTGTCAGATCCTTTAAGACTGGCTACAACAGTAAGTTTGTTAGAGCCTTTAAGACTGTGGCTACATCAGTGAGTTTGTCAGACCCTTTAAGACTGGCTACATTAGTTAGTTTGTCAGATCCTTTAAGACTGGCTACATCAGTTAGTTTGTCGGATCCTTTAAGACTGGCTACATCAGTTAGTGTGGCAGATCCTTTAAGACTGACTACATCAGTCAGCTTGTCAGATCCTTTAAGACTTGCTACATCAGTTAGTTTGTCAGATCCTTTAAGAATGGCTACATCAGTTAGTTTGTCAGATCCTTTAAGAATGGCTACATCAGTTAGTTTGTCAGATCCTTTAAGAATGGCTACATCAGTTAGTTTGTCAGATCCTTTAAGAATGGCTACATCAGTTAGTTTGTCAGATCCTTTAAGACTGTGGCTACATCAGTGAATTTGTTAGATCCTTTAAGACTTCGGCTACATCAGTTAGTTTGTCAGATCCTTTAAGACTGGCTACATCAGTTAGTTTGTCAGATCCTTTAAGACTGACTACATCAGTCAGCTTGTCAGATCCTTTAAGACTTGCTACATCAGTTATTTTGTCAGAACCTTTAAGACTGTGGCTACACCATTAAGCCCATTGTTAGATCCCTTAGGACTCTTATCAAGTCAGTGTGATCACAGTTTTACCGGTATTAAACAAGTCTGAAGTCCATCATGCTATGGCATGTGTTCAGTCCCAGGAAATTTATTTCACCATCCTTAACTCATTTTCCCCAGCAGACACATTTGAACCCTTCAAACTCAAAAGTTGGAACAGTTCATTATGAAATTTCAGGGGTGAATGAGTTACATAGTATTTGACATATATGAAATTGTAATAAGAAAAACAACCAAATATTTACTTAAATTCAATATTTTTATTTAAGCCTAAACAAATCACAATTTGACATGTAAAGTTTGCCAAGTGTAAGCTAATGCTTTTACTGTAAAGAACAATTTGTTTCCATACTCACTTGAATAGTATCGCATAAATGTGTAGACTATGAACCTGCTAACATATAGTTCACTGATTCACACTGAAACACTACACATTGACATCCCTTTTCTTACCAAAACCACCAAGATCAGGCCACAGTTTGGCCTGTTCAAAGGGTGAAATAGAGGTCAAATGTCAATTCACGTTTATGTTTGGGGTTCTTGGTTGGGGTACACTTGCTTGCTAAAGGTCATTCTCCTCTTCAAGGTCAAACTCCCTCAATTACATTACTCATCTTTTTAACCTTACAAGAGGAAAGTTATCTTTGAAATTTATTGTCAACAAAATGAGCAGATATTATCATAACTGTCCCCTTGGAATGGCATCATTGTTAACCAAGAACTGCAAACATAAACTTTTATTCTACAAATATATCAGGCTGAGAATGATGACAACATGTTTTGGAAGCTCTCTGATTGATGCTGACATTGCTAGAATGTCAATGAATAAATTCCTTTTTTTGTGTATATCAATTATTTTACAGAAAAGAAAAAAATATCAAAATTCTTTCAATTAAATTACATCTTAAACCTCAAAATGTTACATTTCTTAATTCCAAAATATCTTACATATATATTTGGCACTGATCTGAAAATGACGAAACAGAACCAAAGTCTAACACCTACCTAAGGGACATTGCATAGAAACTTTATGATTGATAACCATATATTGCCCATTCACAGCAAACATTTTCAGGACCTTAAAGTTAATTTGACATTGAGGAACACACATTAGTGATTTGTTTTGCTGTTCCTTTGCTTCACACAATATTCCTTTCATACACAAACAATATAAAAGACTAGGTAAGACTGAGTACTGGTACATACACAGCTATATCTACATACAGGCTAGCACCATCATGAAATCAGTAGTACATAATTAACCCCTTCTTCCCCTTTCTCCAAAATGACATCCTCCTAATCATTGACAGGAAGAACCCATTTTGCAAAATTAGTGGTGAGAGGTAGGAGTACCTCCTTCCAACCCCTATTATCAAAAATAGATTATTCCTAATCAAAAGTTAGGGGAATCCATTGTGGATACTCAGGTCAGAAACTTCAAAACATTTCAGTGTTTCTGAATAAGGCAAATAGAAATCTTTTCACATGAAAAACATACAGCAAAATATACATAAGACTTTTAAAGATCATTTTCGTCATGAAATTATTAAAATTATGTAGTTTGTTCATAAAAAAAATGTTTGATCATATGATTTGCTTACTGAAGAAGTTTCCTATATGCATGAACAAAACTGTATTGTGAAGAAATTCACAATCCAGGGACATAGAGACGAGGCAATAATCAATAATATATTGTATAAACAGGTATTGTCTAAAACATTCTTTGGCAGACAAAAACAATTAAAAACATCTTTTAAAAAGTCATTACACAAATCTGGGTTTTAAAATTTGTATATAATCAATTCTAACCTTGTAAATTTATCAACATTTTGACCTGCCCAAGTATAATTAAGCAACATTAGAAATTAAGTTTGATGAATCACAACGCTCCCTATACCTTCACACAGACTTGACAGCGACTGATTCGGTTTCTAAGACTACCAGCTTTGATGGTTTCTGGTACAGGCTGTGAAAACGAGTTTATATCTCCTTGCAGAAGTGTAGCTAACCAGTAGCCAAATGATGTGGCATAGTAGTTACATGTGCCCTTGCCGTGGCACTCGATGATTGGAGCCGAGCGGAAATCGCGGAGACATGATCCAGGAGACTGGAGACTCTGTCCGGCTCCCATCCCACCTGCTCCAGTGGACTGAAAGATACGGAAAAAGACTTGCAATTAACCTAATTAACAAACAAACATTAGCAACAGGGTTTTTATAGATAAAATTAAAAAAGGTTAATTTGTGATTGATCATTATGATCATATTTGCCTGTTAACATCTAAAATTATAAATCGCAATGCTTTTTAAATATCACAATGAGAACATGTTCTTCTCTTACTTTAAATGACCCTATGGAGTCAAATTGTGGCTCAAAATAGTTAGGCTTATATTCATTAGCTTCTTATCGCTGATGGTTGTAATCAACAATAGGTTAATTAAAGTTCACTTCTAGCAATTTTCTAATTTTGGAAAAAAACTTAAATGTGTAATAGGAGAAAGTGAAACACAATGGCCCGACCAGGTTTAAAACAAGTGACCCTCCGAACTCTAACAGGAGGCTCTACCAATTGAGCTACCTGGTTGCGCAAGATTGAACCAGTCCAGTTCCACTACAAGTGGAAGGAAGTTGACTCTTACCATAAGGAAGCTGTAGCCGATCCACATGCCCCTGTAGCCGACTGGACAATTCGGGATCTGTACTGTCTGACTGTGGATTGTTACCACCTGCAGGAAAAACAAGATACGTTTTATAACATTTTATTTTTACATCCCGACTTTATTTTAGTGCAAATATGATCATGACTTTACTTTATTGTATACAAGACTTCGTCTCAACTGTATAAATATAACTTTGTCTTAATTTTAATGTATACATATGACCTTGACCTACTTTTATGCATATGACCTTGTCTTAACTTTATACATATGACCTTGTCTTAACTTCTCTGTATACATGATTTGACCTTGACTTAACTTTACTGTATACATTTGACTGTGACTAACTTTATTGTATACATTTGACCTTGACTTAACTTTACTGTATACATTTGACCTTGACTTAACTTTATTGTATACATTTGACTTTGACTTAACTTAACTCTATACATATGACCTCAACTTAACTGTGTGCATATAAAATTCACTTTTCTACATTCTGTATACATTATGATGACTTTTTATACACATGAACTTCCACATATGGTATTGTGACATTACAATATTGATTTCAGATATCTTGCAGGTTACTACAGCGAGTAAATAAGACTTAGATTTTACTACATTATTGCGTACCTCTGAGGGAGCCTCACAGACAGAACATTTACTGATGTAGTTCTGTAGTGGCGGTCCAGTGATGGGCTCCATCATGGGGGTCATGGGTTCCTCCGTGGCCAGCCAGTAGCTGTAGTCATTCCTGGCGGCCACATTACACACGTTATTGATGTTACAGAACATGATGGGCATTGTACTGAAGCGCCGCAGACAGCTGCCAGGTGAGCCGAGGTCCTGGCCGTGAGACCGACTGTTCCCGATCACATGTACCAGGGAGTACCCATCCCACATCTTGAAGGTTCCCTCCGGACATTCTGGCGTGATGGATGTCTGACTGTGCCTATACATAGAGAAAACTCAGTTACCACAAAGTGTCCTTTAAGATTGAACTACTGTTTAGATAACAAAGGCACATAAAGCATCTATCACTCACCTGTGTTTATATGTTGTACAAGCTCAATGTTTTCTTATAGATTTGGGACTGTGGTGGCCATCTTGGATGTCTAATTTTTGGTTTACAACCAGATTCATTCTTGTGAAATAAAACATTTATCTCCCTTTATCAACCAATGGCCTATCTGGTAACAACTTGATGCAGGTATTGGTCTAATTTCATAATAATATCTTTAATGGTTTAGACAAGATGCCACATGCCACTTTAGATTTTGAACTTATTTGACTTTTGACCTGAAAGTGAATCTCATTACGACCAAATTAAAATAGCTCTAAACAGGCGCTCTACAAATTGAGCCATCTGGTGGCAGACAATCAACCCAGTCCAGTTCCCCTACACTGGTTGATGAAACTTCAAGCCTCATCACAATGCTTTTAACAGTTTAAATGTTATGGCCTGGGTGGATTTCACTGGAAATTTTACACTTTTATGAACTCTGACCTGCAATGTAACATGGAAGATTTCTAACAGAAGAAAATGCATGGCCAGAATGGGATTTGAACCTGGGACCCTCTGAGCTCTTAGACAGATGCTCTACCAATAGAGCTACCTGGTCACCGGCAAGCGACACAGTCCAGTTCTGCAACAGACTTTTAGGCAAACAACATTATCCTGTAAATTTGGTAGCCCGACTGAATTGCAGATTACAGAATCTACATCTCAATTTAAATAGCACACCAGGAAAATGTTACATTTTATACCCAGTGCCACCAAATAACATGATTCTAAATATCTTACAATCATAATTCCTTACATTGAGAAGTAGAATCCTGCCGAGGAACCCAGAGAACCCGGTCGTCCAGACAGTCCCTGCTGCCCCACAGAGCCTGGGAATCCATTACGTCCAGACTCTCCAATAATACCATCCTCCCCCTGGTTTCCCTTCATTCCCTTCAGACCAGGCAGACCATTCAGCCCAGGTGATCCCTTGTTGCCCGACTGACCAGGCCTTCCCTCAAAACCTGCCAGAATCAAAAAGGAAAGGGTCACAGTATGTTCAACAAAACAAATAATCAGCTGAAAAATGAAAAATACTGTTGAATTTATTTCTTTTTCAATGAACAGTGTTGACTTCCTGACAACATCACTCCAGGTTCTTTTTGTTTTAATTCAAAACAAAACATTAGGAGGGAGACTCAACTCCTTCATTAAAGTCCAAACTCACACAAACTCAAAATCTACATCCTGTGGTCAAATGATCTCCTAGTTTCTACAGGAAGTGTATAATAATCATAACAGGTGTGTCTGAATCAAATGAATGCTTTGTCGAGTTATTTTTTATACATAAAAAGAGAAAGATAAATTGAGCAAAGCAGTTTCAGTCCCGTTTCACATACTTTCTCCCTCATTGGTAATGTGGAATGAAGGAGATCTCCCTCATTGGAGGTTTCAGAAGTTGACACTTATGTTGTTTACATCCCATAGCAAAGGAATGTCTTTTTTAGAAGTACAGGCTACGATTTGTGACTTTTTAGTGAAAGATGACATAACACACACACAGGTGACTGCACCTTTAACCCTTTCACCACTGTAGACCATAATGGACTCATCCAGATCAAAGCATGGAAGAGTTTACTAAAGTAACATAGGGGTGAAAGCGTTCAAATTTAGTAATAGATACAGTATGCCAAAAATGATAATACAATGCATCATACAGCTGTTTTGTCCTTCGAGGCCTCATAGGTGGCGCTAGTGGTCAAAACAAAGTTGGAAATCTAAATGGTCTAAACTACTGTTGATACAGAGCGGCAGGTGTATAAAACCCCTTAACCCTTTCACCCCTATGTAACTTTAGTAAACTCTTCCATGCATTGATCAGGATGAGTCCCTTAGGGTCTACAGTGGTGAAAGGGTTAAGTAATGAATTCAAAAATTCAGAGGAGTACTGGTTTATTTCGAATTAAATAATCTGTAAAGTGAACCGTGCCACTACTCAAAAGAGATGACTGTGGTCACCAAGGTTACAGCAAACCTCGGGGACTAAAACATCCACCAGCAGCGTCTACCAACTTGTACCTTGTTTAAGTGATATACCAATGTTGATAGAACAACATGAAGGTGAGCATGATAACTAAATAAATCGTTCATCAGTTTAGGACAAAGTATGTATTCCGAAAAATCTTACGAATCACAATCCTCCGAAACAATGTACAGCATAATATACACGTTTACCTGGCGATCCCCGACGACCACTCTCCCCAAAGAATCCTGGGACACCAGTGTCACCCTTCTGTCCTTTAGGAGGCCGTGGAAGTTGGGTGAAATCCACTGGACCAGGCTCTCCAGTCTGCCCTTTGAACCCTGCAATGCAATACACAAAATGTTTACTTTCACCATGTCAACAAAAACATAAGTGTCTCTCAGAACATACTACAGTTATGTCAACTATGCCATTAGTGCCTCACTGTAGTATTATTGCATTATTATAGCAAAATTAAAAAAAACCTGCGAAATATAACTGCTCTACAGTTCTTTATTCCAGAAAATATCCAGATCATCAGGGTAATTGTAATACAGTTTACACAACAGAATCTTATTTATCAAAAGAGTACCATCAAATCCACGTTGTCCGGAGAGTCCGTTGAGTCCAGGGTATCCATCTTCGCCCGGAAATCCGACGGCACCATTCTCTCCTGGGTACCCTTGGAAACCAGGTTCTCCCTTCGATCCTGGTAAACCACTCAAGCCTGGGAGCCCCTGAGAAAGACGGGTAAAGTTCAGATTAGATATCATTAGGTCACCCTCCAATGGAGATTTAACATTAGCGTCGGGCCCCGCTTGGAATTTCAAAACAATAAATGGAAGTTTTTCAACAAGTATAAAATAAAGACTACCATTGTAACAATTTATAGGCAAGTTGACAATATTTAAAAATTTGTAAAAAATCTGCATTTTTTCCTAATTAAAAGCATCACTACGCTTACTTTATGTATACCAATGCGACATATTAAGTATCAAAATAACAGTAATTTTATACACCGTATACTATCATAATTTGTTTTCAAAATTACATTCGCCTGTTACATTTATCTGTCATTTTGTTAGGATAACTCTGTCACTCAACTTGGTGTAATACAAGGAGGTTGGACTGTTATGGTTATAATGAATAATATTTATGCAGTTATTGTTCAATTTTGTGTATCTACATATGGCGAAAAAATAAAAGAAATCAAAGTGGGGGCCAAAGTGCGGTATCAAATGTTGTATTATTTATTTATACCCTTATTGGACTGGGCTCATCTGCCCACAGTCTGTGTAACCATTGCATTATTTCTCCTGGTCTAGGACCCTTTCAACCAAATTAGGTTATGGCTTCATTTGTATTGTAAGGAGCAGGTCACAGTTTTAATGAGCTCAAATGGAAATTTCAACATTGAATCAAAAATAAGGTGATCTGTTATTTCAGGCTGGGACAATTTGCCTTTTTCATGTTTTCTTTTTTATCTTATTTCATTTGTCCTTTGATAAACCCAAGCTCAGCATTAAGTCTTAAATATACATTCACCCCTGAAGACACATTTCAACTCCTCCAATTCAAAGGTTGGAATAGTTCATTATGAGATTTCAGGGGTGAATGAGTTAAATATTCTGTATACTGGAAAAGTTTGCTGCAGTTAAACTTTTGCCTTTTTTTACGCTCCATAATGAGGGCGTATTTATCACAACAGAAAATTGAAGTAAACTACATCAAATACTTATTAATTAAACGTGAAGGACAAATTTTATATTCTGGTCAAATATGTATTTCACTGGCGGAGTGGTCAACTTTGACTGAGTGAAAAGGTCCTGGTATACAGTCCTTTTTTTTTCATTGTTGATGTCTTATGTCCCATACAGGACGAAGAGGATTAAGTTAGTACTTTTGGTGTTTGGTTCTTACTGTTGTTACTTTCCAAATAATCTGAGACAACATTTGAGTGTCTTTGTGCCAAAGTTTTGAGAGAAGTGTATTTTCAGTGTGTCTGCATTGTTGTGTAATTTTTCACATTGCCGATTGCCCAGTTATTTGGTGTGAAAATGACTTAAGAGTGGTTTCTCAATGTATGTGTATGTTAACTCCCCAAAATTGGGTCCAGAGATGACCACTTGACCTTCTAAATAATACTAAATTTGAGGGTTTTGATATATTTGACCACTGTGACCTTGAATATCAGCAAAGTTCGTTCATTTGAACAAACTTGGTAGCCATTCATCTGAGCATGCTTCTGGCTAAATATCCTCACCAGGGTCCTTTTGGTTATTCAGAAGTTGTTTATAGATTTCAACATCTTTGACCCCTGTGACCTTCAACATGGGCGAAGGTCATTCATTTGACCGAATTTGGTAACCCTTCATCCCAGCATGCTACTGGCCCGGTAGCAACATTCTGGGCCTCTTGGTTGTTTAAAAGAAGTTGTTTTATGTAAATTTGATGCCGGACGAGCTAACAATAAGTTAGTGTTCAGTCTTTACCAACCGATTTTATTAATTTGATCATGAGCCAGCATCAGAGTGTCAGTGTAAATTCATCAGAAATCTAGAGTTTTGCTACAGAAAATCTTTCATTAGATTTTATCTTGTCATAGACCACATCTAGCAATCTTTTTTTTATTCTATAAATACCTCACAATAGAACTATATGAGAAGAGAACTTACATTTATTCCTGCTCGTCCTTGGTCTCCGATGCGACCTTCTTCTCCGGAAATGCCGTCAGGACCACGATCACCTTTCATCCCTGCTAAACCACTAAGACCTGGTCGCCCAGCAAAACCATTCTGTCCATCGAAACCTGATTATGAACAAGAAGAAACTGAATGAGTAAACATAAACTAAATATATTTACAACAGTTACGGGACAAGTAATATCAACACGTATATACATTTGTAGCGGAACTGGACTGGATCAATTGTCGGCGACCAGGTAGCTCAGTTGGTAGAGCACCTAGAGTTTGGAGGGTCCCGGGTTCAAACCCTGGTCTGGCCGTGCATTTTTCATATCCTGCTACATATTTAAAACAACTGCAACAAGATCAGGGTAAGGTTCTTATTGCTGTTCTACCAGTTTCGCCCAAACATTGGGCTTTACCAGGACCTTGTTGGCACCGATGTTAGCGTATATGGGGTCCTATTACTGAGTAAGTAGAACTCTAGTGCAGTATTCAAGCACTGAAGTATGAATACAGCTTGCTTGTTAATTCAGACTGTGACAAGAGTCGACTATATATACTTTTCAACAGACTTAACACTACTAAAGATAAGATGTGTTTGCAAATATCAGAAATTGTGGTGAAAAAGACTAAGAATGAACGAAGTCACTGTCGGTGACATGATATTACTAAAGGATCGCTATCACACTGTAGCTAAACATGCCATTGTAGTTTTTCCTGGATGTGGTAACCTCCCCTTAATTTCTTTAATAGTTAGAGAGTGGCAATATTGTGATTTGTGTTCCAGAGTTCAAATGACAGTGCTTTATTTTGTTTTTAAACCAGAAAACTGTTGTTATTTATTTCACCTGAAAAAAAAAATCATAAATGTTCTCTTAGGTCTGTCAGGTTTAACCTCTGAAATATTACATTTTAAAAATATACAAATTTGTCAATCAGCATAGAGGAACAGGCCCCTGATACCACTTTTATATGCGTTGCTTATGACATAAAACAAACACACAATCCTACCGTCAAATCCTGCCTCTCCTGGTGCTCCCCTAGCTCCTGCCTCTCCTGGATAGGAAAATCCACCCTCTCCCTTCATCCCCTTTAGTCCAGGGAACCCTGGGAGTCCCGGGGTCCCTACTGGCCCCTTTTCTCCTGGGAAGCCATCTGCTCCAGTTTGTCCAGCATCTCCCCTGGGGCCGATGTCACCTGCGGAGATAATTGTCGGGGATTATCATACCACTTTCATATGATTTTCTGATCAGGTCTGAGGTTCAGAAAACAGTTAAAAGTCTTGGGTCAAAAGTTTCCTTGTATCATTGATATTTTTCTTTGAAATCAGCTGAAGTTATAGATGAATTCAAACTTATCCTTGTGTTTAAAAGAACTTTCTCCAAATATATTTCTGGTAACAGCCATAAACAAGAAAAAGAGAAAGCGGGGCTCTGTCACTCACCAAAAATAACGTCTTCTCCTCGTTCACCAGGAAAACCATCCAAACCAGCATCACCTGGAATAAAGAAAATGATTCCAATAATTCTTCTTTAACCACTGTGGACCACAATGGACTCATTCAGATAAAGCTATGGTAGAGTCTACTAGTTACCTAGGGGTGAAAGGGTTTAATGAAAAGCGTTTTATTGCTGCAACAACCTTCCTCATATATGTCCGATGTATCAGAAAATCCATATATACGATTTTCACCCAATAAAGATTTCAATTTTTCATATACATATTTTTCATAATCCTAATGACTCTAGTATGACACATAAGTGATTTATGGTTTTGTTTCTTTTTTAATTCTCTTTTTCATGGCATTTTTAATTAAAAGTTAAATTTTACCCTAAAAATTCCTTCAAATCTACTTTAAGATACTCTTCTGCATCTTTATTTAAACATTAAGGTAACATTTACAGATTTTATTTAACTTTTTATTTCAGAGGAGAAACAAATTATGAATCATATTTATGATATATAGCAACTATGATGATAAATTGTAATGGAAGTGAAAATAGATCACTAGGCAGACGATGATTTAAAACATTCCATTAACATTAGTTCACTCATCTTTGAATTCATGAACTATGCTTTTTGGGGTTAATTTTGAAAAATGACCCAACTTTTGACATCCCCCCCCCCTCTCCCTCCTGACAATGATCTTTTGAATTCAGAGATTAGGACTGTACACCATTGGTCTATTTCATCAAGAGTGACTTTGACCTTGACCTTAGTAATGTTTTAAACCCTTACTGCATATCTATGTTTCACAGTGTATCAACATAACAAATTAAAATTTATGAAAGATAAATAAAGATTAAAATATAAAAAAAAATCTTACCAGGGCGTCCTGGTTCTCCAGGGATACCATCAAACCCGTCACTTCCTGGCACTCCAACTTGTCCACGTTCTCCAGTCACACCTGGAAGGCCGTCCTGTCCTGGCAGCCCACTCAGACCAGGTACACCGTCTAAACCACGGTCACCATCTACTCCCGGTGCTCCATTGAGACCGTCCAGTCCTGGATTTCCTGAGAAACCAGGGTCACCACGGTTACCATAAGATCCATCCTCTCCGGCCGGCCCAACACCTCCTGGAGCTCCGACTGCCCCACTTTCTCCTGGGAATCCGGCGGCTCCTCCTTGTCCCTGTGTACAGTGATAACGCCTTGTCAGTATTTTCAGTATACATTCTGTAAGAACTACACCACCTTTTCTCTAGTTGTTTACCAAAATTGCATAGCTTTAGTACTGTAAAAGTATTCCCTTAAGGATCCCTGTCCCAGTGCATGCAAAACATTAGAGAGTTGCACTGTGGTTTTTCGTATATACAGTAACCTCCCTTGTTTCAATTTTGATATGACTGTGGTACCAAGACTAATAGACTAAGGAAATTCCGTTGATCATTTGTTAACTGTAAAACAATCGGAGGTCCCGAGTTCAAATCCTGGTCTTGCTCCCTTGCATTTTTACACTCAGAACACTGCTGTTGAACTTTTTGGTTTGTTTATTTCATCTTCATTAAATTTTTCAAAAAATTCCTGCAAGGTATGTTTTCTATTCGGAAATGATTTATTGAAGCTATGTTTAAGCCAGGAAAAAGTATTTCAAATGCAAAGGTGGAGTTCTTGGCAGTGGCTTGGAAATCCTTAATATCAATGTATCTATAAATTCTTATTGTTTTTCTATACTTCAGCATTATAAATGGATATACAGCATGCCAAAAAAATGCGTTTTGATCAACTTCAAAGTCCCATCTCAATGGGCGGTAGGTAAGATACCCAGTTAGTTATACCTACTTTCTTGGTGTGGCAGAGAAAAGGTCTACTTTTAAACCAAGGCTTATCAGGGTTTACCTTGCTTCGACGTGTGTAATATAAAAAATTATATTGTATCACTGTAGTATTTATCTTTAAAATATTAACTTTAAAATTTATCAGTGGTAGTTTTCAGTAAAAGTTGTGCACGAGATGAGTTACAATGGGAAAGAGTGAGAGGATAAATGCACCTTTGCTCCTTTCAGTCCACCAATTCCTGGAAGGCCATCATCACCTTGTCCTCCCTTCAGGCCAGGACTGCCTGTACGCCCAGTCTCGCCATTTATTCCATTAAACCCTGCTTCTCCCTTAAACCCTTCAAATCCTAAAATAAAACATATAAAGTATATAGATCACTTATATTCATAACATATATATAGGATCTTACATGAGTTTCCATTTCATATGAGATTTATGAAACGAGTCTAAAAACATTACAATTTAGCGAGCCTCTAGCAAAATACGTGACAAGTTTCACAAGAAATGAAAACGAGTGTAACATCCTTTTTATCACATAATCAAGATTGGGGTCATTTATTCGTGTAAAACGACAATTTTCATGCAACCTTGAAATGTAAAAAGCCGCCATTTTGACTCCAGTGAGTAAGTCTAAAACGTCATGTACTTGTCCTAGGTGTGATGTCACAATTGAAACAATTGAAACTTACAACCAATCATACGGCAGATAGGTCATATTATATGGGTTAATACGCAAAAAAATATGACACAGGTATATTCACCGGGTAACAGAGCACATTATGTGATAAAGTTTCATATGATGAAGTTTTGCACCAAGAGGCGAATACAAGTACCAGCTTACTGGTGATGCTTTAGCATGCTGTGATCAACCCTTTCACCCCTATGTAACTTTAGTAGACTCTACCATGCATTGATCTGGATGAGTCCATTATGGTCTATACAGTGGTGAAAGGGTTAACTCTCCCTGTTTATATTTACATGTTACACTAATAGCCCTGCACACCTTGGGTACCTACACTCAAGCGCAGCACCCCACGGAATAACCCACCAACTTTTGGACTGACGTTGGCTCTATTTTCCTACGTAATATAATTTCATACTACTTTTAACTACTATAAGTTGACAAACTTTAGCGGTAAACTGCTGATATTTTGATTAAAGAGTCGATAGTATCAAGGTCGTTGCACTGAACCATTCCATGACCTGCCAAGGGTCACTTGTTCAGCAACGGGTGTAAATTTCATATTTACTTCTAGCATTTCCATTTTCAGTAAACATTCACTAATTATCTAAGAACTGGTATTATGACCTCGTCATCATCAAGCTGTTATCATTGTTGCAGCCATTCAGTGACCATATATTAAGTGGCCATTCTGAATCCCAAAAGTTTGAAGCTTGCCTTTTGATGTAAAGTATATCTTCGATGTATCACTCCCAGAAAGTTTTATTGTGTGGGTAATTGGTCACATGATCTTGGAAAATATGTGTCTGCTGTCTAGATGGTTAAATGGATGATTCCACGTATGTGACAACAGTATATATAAAGCAAGTAAATTATATACTTCCTTTATCTACTAGTATTAAAATGATCACTTAATGTAAGATAAGGTAAAATTGGACTGTTAAACATTTATTGACAAATATTGCAGTTTATCCCATGAATTGTCTACATCTTGTGTGCTACGGTGTATTGATTAGCAACTTACCTGGGCGTCCCATTTCACCTGCCTGTCCCTTAGGTCCCCTCAGTCCATCCAGGCCAGGTAAACCATTGTCTCCTGGTCTCCCACGGCGACCTGCAAAAGTCATTTGACACGTCAGTAAAACATACACAGCAGGAATTATTGTACATCTACATATAACAGTTCACCAGCATGTAAAATTCCTGAAATGTTTGACTTTTAATAATGAGGTATCCTCACAAAACAAAAGTGTTGGCAGACATTCCTGTAATATTTTGTTTAACTCATCCCTGAAGACACATTTGAACTCCTCCAATTCAAAGGTTGGAATAGTTCATATGAGTTGAAGAAATTTCCATCCTATATATATGCAGGAGGAATTACAAATGACATATAGTCAAACTTCGATGTTTTGAACTTTACAGTACAATCTGAAAAACTTCAAACAAAGAGACTTTGACTCAGAAATGTTGAACTTCAAGCATCTTTTAGATCCTTTATACACTGTATAAGACCAAATTTGATTGTCAAGGGATGGAACACAAGGTAATATGTTTTTAATTTGAAATCTATAAACACTGGATTTAATGCGACTAGTAAAATATGTTTTAATTTGTTTAAACCCTGTAGTTTGCATGTTTTGGTTTGAAATTGACCCTAAGATATTTCAATGTCGTAATTTTCAATGTTTTCGCAACGATATAACCTTGATTGTAGTTCAAAACAGCAAGAAATTTGACTCATCAAAGTTCCATTCATAAATTGAATATCAGAAGTGCTATGTAAGGAAAACATTCGGGACTTTGCCATCAGAAATTTGAATCTGCAAAGCTCTTTTCATAGAAGTTGAATGTACTTCAATCAAACTTACCGTTCTCGCCTGGTCTAGAGCTGCCAATATCACCAGCTTGACCCTTGAGGCCATTACCCCCTCTCAGACCATCCAAACCGGGGGCTCCAGGTAGTCCTAAGACAGAAACAAAATCAGTTATAGAATATATATGTTCCTTACATTTTAACATGATTTAGTTAATTCATTCAACCCTAGAGTTTCATAATGAACTATTCCAGCCTTTGAATTGGAAATGTTCAAATGTGTCTTCAGGGGTGAATGAGTTTAGGATTCTGTTTCACAACAGGCAAACACACTAGAGAACACTATTGTTGATAGTTTTTTTGAATATTTCCTAATATCTTTTTTTTAAGTTCCACATAGTAGAGGTTTCTTTTCAGAAATATTTATCAGTGCTATTTTCATTCCAGAATCAAGTTTCAAATGCCTGTCTTATTTTTTGTAACATAATATAATATATTTCAGACTTATGGGAGTATTGTCAATATGTCTATTCTTGTTGATCTTTAAAATGTGTCAAAATTAACATTCATGTAGATATTCTACAAGGCTACATTCGCATATCCCGGTTGAAACCGTACGTGTCAAGTCCTGCCGTCTTGTAAGGCAAAACATGCATTTAATTACATTTGAAGTAGTAGAATAGATAACATATGTTTGTATAGAAGGGTATGTTAGGGTAGGTTGTATTCGTTTATCCCGATCCAAACAGTTGAACCGGTTGGATCTGAGTTGTTCGTTGTTGTTAGGGTCAGAACTACTAATCTGATGCTGCTTTGCAAACATTGCAGGTCTGCCAGGAGTTATGCCCGAAAATGTTACATTTAAAAACAGACAAACTGGATGAACCGGAAACACAAAGGGGCCCTGGAATTCAAAAACTTTGGAAAAGAATATCAATTTTTTGCCCATCTGGATTCTTTAATTATCTATTTCAAACAGTTTCTTACCCTCACTATAATACACACACAGGTTGATTATTCATTATTCACACTCACTCAATTATATGATATTCTTACCTCTTGGTCCTGGGTCACCAGTCAGCCCAGGAAACCCGGGCAAACCAGGTGGCCCCTCTATACCCGGGAAGCCGTCCGGTCCCGGAGGCCCAGTCTCTCCTTTACGTCCGTACACTCCTGCAGCACCGGGAACACCAGCAAACCCTGCAGGCCCCACGCTACCTGTAACACGAGGGACGGGGTTAAGTGTTGCTATAGAAACAGGACACTGGTTATGATAACCACAATTGGCGTCAATCATAAAAAAAAATTCCTAACTGAATGACAAGTAACAACTAAAAATAAATTTAAATATGTAACAATATTTTTATTTCTGAAATATATCAAGTAATTTTGTATTTTGAAAAGAATGTTGCAAAATTCTTTTTCAGGTGGTTAAATATTTAACATTGTATAGGACAGAATCCCGAAATTGTCCTTGACCTATATTAAAGAGCTTTTTCTAAAGAAATATCTGACAAAACACCCTGTAGAATTAGTTTTGCTAAAATTGAGACCTGGAAGCTCCTATATACTCACTCCTGCTATCCTCCTGACCTGGTAGTCCGTATATACTCACTCCTGCTATCCTCCAGACCTGGTAGTCCCTTTATACTCACTCCTGCTCTCCTCCAGACCTGGTGGCCCTATATACTCACTCCTTCTATCCTCCTGACCTGGTAGGCCGTATATACTCACTCCTGCTCTCCTCCAGACCTGGTGGCCCTATATACTCACTGCTGCTATCCTCCTGACATGGTAGTCCCTATATACTGACTCCTGCTATCCTCCAGACCTGGTAGTCCCTATATACTCACTCCTGCTATCCTCCTGACCAGGTAGTCCGTATATACTCACTCCTGCTATCCTCCTGACCAGGTAGTCCCTATATACTCACTCCTGCTATCCTCCAGACCTGGTAGTCCCTATTTACTTACTCCTGCTATCCTCTTCACCTGGTAGTCCCTATATACTCACTCCTTCTATCCTCCTGACCTGGTAGTCCCTATATACTTACCCCTGCTATCCTCTTCACCTGGTAGTCCCTATATACTCACTCCTGCTATCCTCCAGACCTGGTAGTCCCTATATACTTACTCCTGCTATCCTCTTCACCTGGTAGTCCCTATATACTCACTCCTGCTATCCTCCTGACCTGGTAGTCCCTATATACTCACTCCTGCTATCCTCCTGACCTGGTAGTCCCTATATACTTACCCCTGCCACCTTTGAGACCTGGAAGCCCTGGTAATCCAGCTCGTCCAAGACTGCCAGCTCCACCCATATCTCCCTTGAAGCCCTTTAAACCTGTCAAATAAAAATCATATTTAAATCATAAAATAAATGATGTATAAGCAGTCAAAAACCAATCACCACAACAATGGCCAATTAACATCAAGACAACCAAAGTGTTTACCAAACAACACTACAATTCAGTGTTTAAACAACCGCTTCAGCTGGCCTATTTTTTTTATGAATTTTGATATTATGTACAGTAAAACCCCGTTTTAATGCCACCTGTTAAACCGCAATACACACAAACCCCTATTAATTTATTCAGAACGTATTTCCCCCAATATTAATGCACCCGTTATATCACCAAAACTGCATGCAGCCATCCGTCACCATATTCCAAAAGCAAATGGTTAAAATCACACTATTTTGACCTCGTTAAATACCGTCAATTTGAGTCGAGTACAAGTATATCCCAATTACAGGAATGTTATGCAGTGTGTACATTGTATGCCGACAGGTGACTGCCCACTGACCAGGTAATCAGCTGTATGGTTGTGTGCACATGAAATCGTTGAACCATAGCTAGACCAACAATTTGATACATTAAATTACAATTTTGTAAAACAAAAACGTATTCTGAAGTTTATCATTATTTGTTTTAATTATAAGTTCAGTTGGTGTGAACACTTGGGTTCAAAACGGTTAACCTGATATACCGCCAAACTCAGAGAGGACAAAAGGTGGCGGTATAACAAGGTTTTACTGTATGTAAATTAAAACAGAATGTTGATGATAGATTTAAGTTAGAGGAGTGTGCCTTGTACCTGCTAGGCCAGGAAGTCCCTGCAGTCCTCGTTCTCCCCGTTGTCCAGTAAATCCATCAGTTCCACGTGCACCGGGTAGTCCTGGCCTTCCTGTAACACCTCGCTCTCCTTCCACACCGTTCTGTCCAGGCAGACCGCTGTCACCTGGGGATCCATTCAATCCGCGGAAACCTGGCAATTGCAAGGCCAAAGGAAGGTCAGATAAAGTTCAATGATACAGTGAGTTCAGACTGCTTGATCCTTTACATAGATCTATCATGTTGCAAGTCAAGGCCCAAATATTTCGAATGCCATATCAAATATTACAAGTTCAGACTCTTATCTTATAAGCCTAGTAGGTAGGTCCAGTTAAATCACCTATGTTGTAAGCTGAGTCTCGAATGTTGTAAGCTAAGTCTCAAACGTTGTAAGCAATGTCTCCTATATTGTAATTTGAGCCTCCTGTGTTATATAAGTCATACCTTTTTTGTTGTAGGCCCGAGCCTCCTATGCTGCAAGTTGAGTCTTATTTGTTATAAACCAACCATTTAATTTAGAAATTCAAGCAAAACAGCAAAAGTTAAAATGCAGCAAAATTTTCTGGTGAAACATGATGAGTCTCAGGGTAACAAAAATGCTGTTTCCCTACTTCATCTCTGTACCAACCTTTCTGTCCTTCACGTCCACGACTTCCAGTCTGACCTCTGATCCCTGGCAGGCCATCTTCACCTTGGGGACCACGGGGACCGGGACTGCCCGGGCGACCCGGTTCACCAGCAAATCCTGAAAACAGAAAACCAGACATGTACTTCCATTTCAATACTGTCACTGTTCCAAATATTTTCAATTGTTATGGGTGAATAAGCATTACATTCATTAGAGAAAGACCCCAGCACCTTATACAATCATTAGAGAGTGACTTCAACACAAATAATGATCTCTTAATTAGAGGCTGCTATATTTGTACCATTATACGGAATGTTAATGGCAACCCAATTTGTTGCCCTGTTTGTCCAAATGAATTTGTTCTATGGTAGTACACTTGTTGTCATGGCACCAGTCCAATGTTTACTGCTCATAACCATATTGTAAGATTCCTATCATTTTCCCCATTAAGATACTTAAAGACAGTCTGAGTAACTTTTAGGCTACCAATAACATTTGAAACAAGAGTTCTGCAGAGGCGGAAAAGTGTAAGCTGCTTTCAAGCCAAACTGACATACTTGACAACCTTCTGATGCATTCTTGTGTTAAAATGTATCAACATATTAAAATGTTACTACCCGTTATAATAAAGTTTGTACTCTATTACTCTGTAAAATTGAATTTGTTCAACACGTCTGCCCTAGTGGCAGGGATGGTGTTAACATCTGTCAGTCATAGCAACAACAAACAACTTAGCTCTTCCCCATCAACCCTTTCACCCCTAGGTACCTTAAGTAGACTCTACCATAGCTTTATCTGGATGAGTCCATTGTGGTCCACAGTGGTGAAAGGGTTAATACACATGTACAGTGTCCCGGCTTTCACTTTTATTGAGCAGAGAGTTTTCATTAATTTCATTTGTTATATACATTACAATTTGAGGTGTCACTGTTCCCTTTTGTTTCTTAAATTATATTCAATACTAAAACTGGATTTAACTCAAAGTGACGGCTTCACGGATGCCATGAGGTCAGTGTGATCTCATTTTAAAATGTGATGCACTGCCTTCTCTTAATGTACCTTTATATTATGTTTAATGTCCACTTCATAAAACAGTGGCTGAGATGTGCTTCCTATACCGTACTCAGCATTGACGGATGGACAGATGGACAGATGTACAGATGTACAGATGGACAGATGGACAGATGAACAGATGAACAGATGCAAATACTACATACCCCCGTATGATATGATAACAGAAAGTTCAATATTGGAATGTTTTCACGCTTCTACTAATCAAGCTAAGCCCACTGTCCCAGAATTTTCTTTTCTTGTCAAGACATTTTGTGATTCTAGTACAAATGTGTATACACACCTTTTTCTCCTTTGACACCCTCCAATCCTGGGAAACCAACTCGACCATTCTCTCCAGAGAATCCGTCCTCTCCAGGGAAACCTGGTAGCCCAGGTTCTCCTGGAATCCCTGGTAACAGGCTATCTGGTGGGTTACCAGGGAAACCCGGCTCTCCCTATTACAATAAAACAAAACAAAATGTTTTGCTAATAACAACTAACAATGCATTTGTACAATAAATGATTGGTTTGATCTGTTTGTGTTTTACATCCTATTAACATCTATGGTCATTTAAGGACGTGCCAGGTTTTGATGGTGGAGGAAAGCCGGAGTTCCGGAGAAAAAACAACGACCTATGGCCAGTACCTAGCAACTGCCCCACGTAGGTCTCAAACCTGCGACCCAGTGGTGGAGGGCTAGTGGTAGCAGAATGTCAGACACCTGAACCACTTGGCCACAGCAGCCCCCCACAACACATTGGTATTGTTCAGAAACTTAAATATAATAGGAAGGAAAAGATACAATGGGCCAGACACAGATATTCAAAGCTAGAATCACTGACATCTGTGTCCATTTCACGTATCCTGTTCAACCAGTTGAAACGACCGGCGCAGATCTAAATGGAGGCTGGCCTGAGGAACATTCGGCACGTGTAGATTGAGGGGTCCAGACGTGCCATACCGAAACTAAAATGCTGACTTTTGCTAATTTGCATTATTTCTTTATAAAACAAGGTCAATTCATATGCTTATTTTAATATATGTTATATAATTTAGTGGACGCATGAAAGAAGGACAAATTACTCTTTATATATTGTTATTTATTTTCCAAAACTGTGCATTTTTTAGCTCTACAAACAGTTCGGTCCACGTGCGATTGTTTATCATGAAATATTTTTGCGCCACCTGAACTGTTTCAACCAGGATCTGTGAATGTAACCCTAGATTACTGCTCTTTAAACCAAATCTGATCCATTTCTTCCTCCTTTTCCTTAGTTTTTATCTTGAAGAAATACTCTGAAAATTGTTTAAAACCTTTGTTCTCTATATTCGTCTTGTTTTCACCCCTATGCAACTTGAGTGAACTCTACTATGCATTAATCTGGATGAGTCTATTATGGTCTACAGTGGTGAAAGGGTTAAAATAGTTCATTAAGTTTTACTTTCTTAACATCTTTATACTTACACGCAGCTAATAACTCATTCACCCCTGAAATTTCATGATTCCTACCTTTGAATTTGAAGAGTTCAAACGTGTCTTCAGGGGTCAATGAGTTAGAGGATATAAAAACACAAATAACCCAAACTTACAGGGAATCCAGGCAGGCCATCACTTCCATCCTCTCCCCTCCGGCCTTGCTGTCCTGGGATTCCATCAAGACCCGACGGCCCTGGTAATCCTGAATAACCCTTAGGTCCGACCCGTCCTCTCTCACCAATAATTCCATTCCTACCATCTTCGCCCACGACGCCTGGTTCACCCGAGTATCCGACACGCCCGTCCTGCCCCTGCTCTCCAGTCATACCTGTTAATATAGTGATGAAATATCGAATGTGTACACATCTATTCTGTTAACCTTGTTTTCAGTCATGATCTTTTTAAAATTTCTGCCACCATGGGGTGGTCTTATTACTGAGCGTGGGCCTATTACAGGCAAAGTACAAAGAATACCTCATAAAGTTTATTATATCAACACAGACAATTTACAGACCATACAAAACGGTATGTATCACAGATTTGACTAGACTGGCTTATTAGGAAGTGGGGATGGGGGTTGGGGTTGGGGGAGAGGGGATTACAATATTCATAGAATGATGTTTCGTTCTGATGATTGCAATGTCATTAAGCTTGAATATATTGCTATAACATATTCATGGGTATCAAACTATGCAGAATTCACAAATCATATTGTACAATACAGAAGTTTAGAAAATCAGGGGCAAATTTCTTTCTGTAAATTTGAGATATTTTAAAACACATGTTTAAGTTTATCAAGAAAACACTTCACTCGGTGTTGACTTGACAATGTCAGTCATAGCAAATATAACATTAGTGAACATTTCGCAAGCTCTGCATTAAACAGTTTTACTCTCATTCAAAAGTGTAATCAAAATGTAAGCAGGTTACCGTAAGCATAGATTATCCCTGCAATTTAACTTCTTATTATAATATTAGCAGATGAACATGTACTTACCTTTCCGACCTGGAAACCCTTGCATGCCATCTATACCTGATCTCCCAGGTTCTCCTACATCACCTTTCATTCCAGGGAATAGTATAGGCAAACCTGGTTCTCCTTTGAAACCTGTACAAAGAGGATCATGTGTCATCATCGTTCTTTGTCTGGTTACGTAACAACTGCGCTTGTTTATCCCATATCTTCACTCAGGGAACCGTGGTAAACCAGTCGGCTCATCAACAAATCTGTCTAGGTCCTCTCCACATAAGAGGTCACGAGAAATGTTGTAAATATCTAAACAACCAGTCGGCAAATTTTCTTTCATTAAAAAAGCTGAAATAATTGTCTGCCTAATGCCAGCAGATATGGTGATGTAGCCTCGATCTGATAGTTGCGAAGTCTCTTGTCTTATTTTGATCCTCATGGCATGTCATAATTCCCCGTAATATAATTGAAATTGAGGTAATATTATTTTGAGTAGAATTTAACTTATTTGTTATCCTTATTGAGACTCTAATACAGATGTTACCTGGTATTACACTTCAAATTTTACCTTAAACATTAAACTTGCTGTGAGCATTATATCCTACATTTTATCAAAATTAAAATAATGTCATAATTAAGATATAGTTATAATTGTATTTTTGTAATGCATTGTTCAAATATGTAATCCATTAATGATATAATACTAAATTTCTGATCATTAAAGATATGTAACATGGGCGACTCTTATCATGCAGTAAATATCTTTTATACTGAAAAACCTCAAAATAGCTACCCATACAGACTGAGAGCAGTCACACAATAACCCATTTAAAGATTATAAATAGTCGGACTACAAGCCATGTACAAATAGTTGACAGTATAATACACTGTCAACCTTTATAACTCTCCCCCAATACACTGTCAACTCTTTGCAACTCTCCCCAATACATTGTCAACCTTTATAACCCCCCCCCAATACACTTTCAACTCTTTATAACTCTCCCTCAATACACTGTCAACATTTATAACTGTCCCCAATACACTGTTAACTCTTTACAACTCACCCCAACACACTGTCAACCCTTAACAACTCTCCCCAATGCACTGTCAACCCTTTACAACACCCCTCCCCAATACACTGCCAACCCTTTATAACTCTCCGCAATACACTTTCAACCTTTACAACTCTCCCAATACACTGTCAACTCTTTACAACTCTCCCCAATACACTGTCAACTCTTTTCAACTCTCCCCAATACACTGTCAACTCTTTACAACTCACACCAACACACTGTCAACCCTTTATAACTCTCCCCAATACACTGTCAACCTTTATAACTCTCCCCAATACACTTTCAACCCTTTAAAACTCTTCCCAATACACTGTCAACCCTTTATAACTCTCCCCAATATACTGTCAACCTTTTTACTCTCCTGTATACACTGTCAACTCTTTATAACTCTCCCCAATACACTTTCAACTCTTTATAACTCTCCCCAATATACTGTCAACCTTTACAACTCTCCCCAATACACTGTCAACTCTTTATAACTCTCCCCCAATACACTGTCAACTCTTTACAACTCTCCCCAATCCACTGTCAACCCTTTACAACTCTCCCCAATACACTGTCAACCTTTTTACTCTCCTGTATACACTGTCAACCTTAACAACTCTCCCCAATACACTGTTAACCCTTTACAACTCTCCTGTATACACTTTCAACTCTTTACAACTCTCCCCAATACACTGTCAACTCTTTACAACTCTCACCAATATACTGTCAACCTTTACAACTCTCCCCAATATACTGTCAACCCTTAACAACTCTCCCCAATACACTGTCAACTCTCCCCAATACACTGTCAACCTTTACAACTCTCCCCGATACACTGTCAACCCTTTACAACTCTCCCCAATATGCTGTCACCCTTTACAACTCTCCCCAATACACTGTCAACCCTTTACAACTCTGCCCAATATCCTGTCAACCTTTATAACTCTCCCCAATACACTGTCAACTCTTTACAACTCTCCCCAATACACTGTCAACCCTTTACAACTCTGCCCAATATCCTGTCAACCTTTATAACTCTCCCCAATACCCTGTCAACCCTTTACAACTCTCCCCAATATACTGTCACCCTTTACAACTCTCCCCAATACATTGTCAACTCTTTACAACTCTCCCCAATATACTGTCAACCTTTACAACTCTCCCCAATATACTGTCAACCTTTACAACTCTCCCCAATATACTGTCAACTCTTTACAACTCTCCCCAATACACTGTCAACCCTTTATAACTCTCCTGTTTACACTTTCAACTCTTTACAACTCTCCCCAATACATTGTCAACCCTTTACAACTCTCCCCAATACACTGTCAACCTTTACAACTCTCCCCAATACATTGTCAACTCTTTACAACTCTCCCCAATATACTGTCAACATTTACAACTCTCCCTAATGCACTGTCAACCCTTTACAACTCTCCCCAATACACTGTCAACTCTCCCCAATACACTGTCAACTCTTTACAACTCTCCCCAATACACTGACAACCTTGACAACTCTCCCCAATACACTGTCAACCCTTATAACTCTCCCCAATACACTGTCAACCTTTATAACTCTCCTCAATACACTGTCAACCCTTTACAACTCTCCCCAATATACTGTAAACCTTTACAACTACCCCCAATACACTGTCAACCTTTTTACTCTCCTGTATACACTGTCAACCTTTACATCTCTCCCCAATATACTGTAAACCTTTACAACTATCCCAAATACACTGTCAACCTTTTTACTCTCCTGTATACACTGTCAACACTTTACAACTCTCCCCAATACACTGTCAACCCTTTATAACTCTCCCCAATACACTGTCAACCCTTTACAACTCTCCACAATACACTGTCAACCCTTTACAACTCTCCCCAATACCCTGTCAACTCTCCCCAATACACTGTCAACCTTTATAACTCTCCCCAATACATTGTCAACTCTTTCCAACTCTCCCCAATATACTGTCAACCCTTTACAACTCTCCCCAATACACTGTCAACCTTTACAACTCTCCCCAATATACTGTAAACCTTTACAACTATCCCCAATACACTGTCAACCTTTTTACTCTCCTGTATACACTGTCAACCTTTACAACTCTCCCCAATACATTGTCAACTCTTTACAACTCTCCCCAATATACTGTCAACCCTTTACAACTCTCCCCAATACACTGTCAGCTCTCCCCAATACACTGTCAACTCTTTACAACTCTCCCTCAATACACTGTCAACTCTTTACAACTCTCCCCAATACACTGTTAACCCTCCCCAATACACTGTCAACTCTTTACAACTCTCCCCCAATACATTGTCAACTCTTTACAACTCTCCCCTATATACTGTCAACCTTTATAACTCTCACCAATACACTGTCAACTCTCCCCAATACACTGTCAACTCTTTACAACTCTCCCTCAATACACTGTCAACTCTTTACAACTCTCCCCAATACACTGTTAACCCTCCCCAATACACTGTCAACTCTTTACAACTCTCCCCAATATACTGTCAACCTTTATAACTCTCCCCAATACACTGTCAATCCTTTATAACTCTCCCCAATACACTGTCAACCTTTATAACTCTCCCCAATACACTGTCAACCCTTTATAACTCTCCCCAATACACTGTCAACTCTTAACAACTCTCACTAATACACTGTCAACCTTTACAACTCTCCCCAATTAACTGTCAACTCTTTACAACTCTCCCCTATACACTGTCAACCCTTTACAACTCTCCCCAATATACTGTCAACCTTTATAACTCTCACTAATACACTGTCGACCCTTTACAACTTTCCCCAATACACTGTCAACCTTTACAAATCTCCCCAATACACTGTCAACCTTTATAACTCCCCCCAATACACTGTCAATCTTTATAACTCTCCCCAATATACTGTCAACCTTTATAACTCTCTGTAATACACTTTCAACCTTTATAACTCTCCCCAATACACTGTCAACCCTTTATAATTCTCTGTAATACACTGTCAACCCTTTATAACTCTCTGCAATACACTGTCAACCCTTTTTGACTCTTCCTGAATGAACTGCCAACCCTTTATTACAACAAAGGACCAGTTAAGTTTAGAAACTTACACCATACTAATAAATATGCCAGGCCTGATAATACTTACCAAAAACTCCCTTAGCTCCATTATTTCCTGGGATACCAGCGAATCCCTTCTCTCCTTGCTGTCCGGGAAATCCTGGGAAGGAATCCCCTGGATTTCCCTTTGCACCCCTGGAGCCTTTCATACCATTGATTCCATCTAAACCATCAATTCCTGGCTTTCCCATATCACCCTGTAACAAAAATCACACCCCTTGATACTCAGAATACACAGGAGTCATGTGATCTTATCTGAAAACCTATCCTTAGGCCATGACCTCTATTTGTGTCTCTATGATTACTTATCATTGTATACTGTGGCTGATTTTAATTGTACATATGACTATGGTCGCCTTTTAGCTGCACAGTAGAGCAAATTTCCTAATAGCTCAGTGGTAGAGCGTCCGACAAGGAAGTCTGGGGTCTGGGGTTTGACCCCGGTGGAAGCCGAGTTATCCCTTTCCTGTTACAATACTGTAGTGGAAATGGACTACGTTGATCTTGGCAACCAAGAATCTCAATTGGTAAAGTGTCCATCGAGAGTTTGGAGGTTCCCGGGTTTGAATCCCAGTCTGGCAGTGCATTTTTCATCCCTGGTTTATACCTGCCAAGTGACCCGATTACGTCGGGTTACACCCAGGCTTTTAGCCCTTCACTCGCTTTTATAACTTCACCTGCCGGGTTACGATTTTGACCCGGATTTAGTCCATTTCACCCGTTTTTCGCCCAAAATCTTTTCATATATTAGAAGTTACCGAAGTCACTCAGAATTCTCTAGACTTTTCCATCCTTTGTCATCAGAAAGACGATCTATTTCCTGTTTCCGTTTCTCACCGACAGTTAAGTTGTGAGTTGTTTATATACAAACTAGAACTGTTTTTACAAATGTTTATATAAAGACCGTTGTTACTGAACTTACCGACAAGTTATTAGTGAGGTGTTTTAACGAATAATTGAGTTGTTTTTACAATTGTATTTACGTAGTATAGATCGTTTTTTGAAGGTAACGTTATGTCTTCTTGAAGGCAGAAGTCGTTATTGGGACTTGCAGGTTCTACTACTACACGAAATGCTATAAGAAAAGATAAGCACATATCAAATATCAAAAACACGCACAGGCATTTGATGATTTGTTTCTGTCAATCAAAATGATCCTGACTATAAGAATTCAAACCCTACTCTTATAAAACTAATATTTTATATGAGTATGGTGCGAGGACCATTTTTATTGACAGAAACAAAATGGTATTTTATATGAGGAAAATGTGACATCTTATTGTCAGGACCATTTTAATTGACATATAAAAAAGGCCTGTGAAAACACAGTATCATATTTATTATTATGAATTAATTTTATAAGTTGTTGCCAAATCTTTTTATTTTTCAGCTTTGAATTTGGTATTATGGATGAGGATTAACTAGATCTGCTGGAAGAATAGTTCAATGAATGTAGAATGATTAAAATATTAAAATTCTAACTTGTAATTTGTACTTTTCTTAAATTTGTTGCGAAAAAAGATGTCGCGCACTATGACCCTCTTTTTTATTTTCAAAAGAGTGTCATCACCCTCTTTCAGTATATCCGGGGTTGGCAGGTATGCCGTTTCCTATGCATTACTTACCCATTTAGGGAAAGGGAAGTAACTCATGTTGACTTCATTATGTGATCAAATCTTTGCATTCTATTTTTCTGCAATTTTATGACCTCACAAATTAAAAAACACTAAGATACTCATGAAAATATACCTGATGCACAGTATGCACTATTTAAACCTAACACTCCAATCCTTTGAAGAGTATTTTTCATTAACCCTTTCACCCGTTTGTAACTTTAGTAGACTCTACCATACATTGATCTGGATGAGTCTATTATGGTCTACAGTGGTGAAAGGGTTAAGTAATGATGACATCAGTAGAATAATGGTATTTATTTCATGTTGATCATTAAAATACTGTGTACTGGGAACCTTTCACAGCAGTTCAATTTTCGCCTTTTTTGCCCTTCATGATGAGGGCGTATTTCTCATTACAGCGAAGATAGGTGAACAACATAATATACATAGTAATTAAATGTGAAGGGCGAAATTAACACTTGGTGAAAACTGATTTCATGGGTGAAGGGCAAAAATTTGACTGGATGAAAATTTCAGGGTATACAGTACACCAAATACGTTTTCACAAGAAACTTACCTTCATCCCCTGTGCACCGGGATACCCAACTGTTCCTCTCTCCCCAGGTAATCCTGGAGTACCGTCCTGTCCTTGGGGCCCATCATAGCCTGGATCACCAACCATTCCTTTGGGTTTCTGTGTAAATTCATTTATGTCCCAACCATCCCCCTTTATACCCTTGTTTCCTGTGAAACCTGGTGGACCAATGGCCCCCTGAAATACACATTAAACCTGCCTTATCTGATCTGAAGGGAAAAAAGACATTTAAATGTCCTTATAACATTTAACTCATTCACCCCTGAAGACACATTTGAACTCTTCCAATTCAACGTTTGGAATAGTTCATTATAAAATTTCAGGGGTGAATGAGTTACTGGTTGTACTATCAATACACACCTTTATGGTGAAAATACGAACATTGATTCAACGATAACAAAATTCTTAAGATAAAAACTAGAACCGAATTTGTTCAAAAATGATATTTTGTAATAAAACACCAGAAACATCAGTAATCTCACATGACAGTAAACCTTGTTATACTGCCACCGCCAGTTTGGGCATTATAAAGGGGATTAGCGATAAATGGAGGGAAATATATAAAGGAATTATTACGAAAAGGAGATAAAGGAACATTGATTGTTGGCAGTAAACGAGGATTTACTGTAAATGGTATGCCGGGTGTGTTGGAAATATACTGTAATTTGAATCCTGCTAGCTTGTGTAGCATGGTAAGTTTTGATAGACCTGACATAAGGGTGTATGCATTCTGGTGTTTCTGTCTTTTATATATACATGAGAATTCAACAAATTATTATGAATATAGCTTAAAGTTATCCGACACATCCAGGCCAACATTGAACATTCTGATACTTTTTCACAACTGTTATAAAAAATCATGTTGACCAACTTAATTCTTTTTTAATGACTATAAACAATCTTTTTAACCAGCAATGTTGACCACAGCAGTTGATAGCATCTGAAAGCGTTCAACTGTTTGAAATCATTATTTTGAAACTGTTTGACATTTTTCAGGTAATTTTGTTCGCTATTACGTTGACTTTGTAAGAATATGCTCTGTCTCCCAGACGGCATCCTCCATATCCAGGGGTTATGCCCACTTTCGCTCTCTGCACCCCTGTAATATGTCGTAGCAAAATTGTGTCACCTTGTGTATGAGACGAGAAGTCTATTTTGATCCTTTTGATGTACATCAAAAGAATCTCGCGGTCGTGTAACGGTACAACTTATTGGCTTTGAGGTCAGGCATCACTCTTCTGTAATCTTCAAAGGACAAGTACAAGCCTAGTGATTGGTCAGTTTTTTTTTACCTGACACCAATCAAATAGCTAGCTGTGTGCCTTCAATTTTGCTATGACATGTTCCAGGGGTGCAAAGTGTGAAAGTGAGCATAACCCCTGGAGTATTGAGGATGCCCAAACTTTAATCCATCAGCTTTTCTAAACAGACAGAACATGGGATTGGAATATAAAAAAATTGCCCCTAAACCTATTACATTATACACATGTAACAAATTGACTGACCTTTCGACCTTTAAACCCAGCTAATCCTGGAAGTCCTCGCATACCAGCCTCTCCCTTTAAACCTTCTTGTCCAGGAGGTCCATCAAAACCAGGCAGACCTACACACAGAGATAGAGTACACTACAACATACCTTTCTTTACATAACTTTTTTTACTAGGAGTCAAAGACTTCTAAACAAGCATTACTATGGGTTCTGTACAAATGTTACCATGGGTTCTGTACAAGTGTTACTATGGCTTCTGTACAAGTGTTACTATGACTTCTGTATAAGTGTTACTATGACTTCTGTATGAGTGTTAGTATGACTTCTGTACAAGTGTTAGTATGGCTTCTGTACAAGTGTTATTATGACTTCTGTATAAGTGTTATTATGACTTCTGTATAAGTGTTACTATGACTTCTGTACAAGTGTTACTATGACTTCTGTACAAGTATTACTATGACTTCTGTATAAGTGTTACTATGACTTCTGTATAAGTGTTACCATGGCTTCTGTACAAGTGTTACTATGACTTCTGTACAAGTGTTACTATGACTTCTGTATAAGTGTTACTATGACTTCTGTATAAGTGTTACTATGACTTCTGTACAAGTGTTACTATGACTTCTGTATAAGTGTTACTATGACTTCTGTATAAGTGTAACTATGACTTCTGTACAAGTGTTAGTATGGCTTCTGTACAAGTGTTACTATGGCTTCTGTACAAGTGTTACTATGACTTCTGTATAAGTGTAACTATGACTTCTGTACAAGTGTTAGTATGGCTTCTGTATAAGTGTTACTATGGCTTCTGTACAAGTGTTACTATGACTTCTGTATAAGTGTAACTATGACTTCTGTACAAGTGTTAGTATGGCTTCTGTATAAGTGTTACTATGACTTCTGTACAAGTGTTACTATGACTTCTGTATAAGTGTAACTATGACTTCTGTACAAGTGTTAGTATGGCTTTTGTACAAGTGTTAGTATGACTTCTGTACAAGTGTTATCATGTCGTCTTTACAAGTGTTACTATGACTTCTGTATAAGTGTTACTATGACTTCTGTACAAGTGTTACTATGAATTCTGTACAAATATTACAATCGGTTCTGTACAAGTGTTACTATGATTTCTGTACAAGTGTTACTATGACTTCTGTATAAGTGTTACTATGACTTCTGTACAAGTGTTACTATCTCTGACTTCTGTACAAGTGTATGACTTCTGTATAAGTGTTAGTATGGCTTCTGTACAAGTGTTACTATGACTTCTGTATAAGTGTAACTCTGACTTCTGTACAAGTGTTAGTATGGCTTCTGTACAAGTGTTACTATGACTTCTGTACAAGTATTACTATGACTTCTGTATAAGTGTTACTATGACTTCTGTATAAGTGTAACTATGACTTCTGTACAAGTGTTAGTATGGCTTCTGTACAAGTGTTAGTATGACCTCTGTACAAGTGTTATCATGTCGTCTTTACAAGTGTAACTATGACTTCTGTATAAGTGTTACTATGATTTCTGTACAAGTGTTAGTATGACTTCTGTATAAGTGTTAGTATGGCTTCCGTATAAGTGTTACTATGGCTTCTGTATAAGTGTTACTATGGCTTCTGTATAAGTGTTAGTATGACTTCTGTATAAGTGTTACCATGATTTCTGTACAAGTGTTACCATGGCTTCTGTACAAGAATTACCACTAAACAATATGTATCGAAACCAATTCTAAATAGACTTACCTTCCAAACACAGGTTACCTACACCTTCTGTGGAAGAATTACCACCAAGGTATGGAAACAAGTATATTAACAAGGCCTCTGAAGTTAGTTATAAACCATGGCCTTGTTTCTGAGTTAGTTATAACCCCCCTGACCTTTGTTTCTGGGTTAGTTCTAACCTCCCAGCCTTGTTTCTGAATTAGTTATAAAACCCCCAGCCTTGTTTCTGAATTAGTTATTAACCCACTTGCCTTGTTTCTGAATTAGTTATAAACCTCCTGGCCTCTTTTCTGAGTTAGTTATAAACCCCCTGGCCTTGTTCTCCGGGCCTCGTTTCTGAGTTAGTTATAAACCCCCTGGCCTTGTTTCTGAGTTAGTTATAAACCCATTGGCCTTGTTTCTGAGTTAGTTATAAACCTCATGGCCTTATTTCTGAGTTAGTTAAAAAAACCTCTGCCCTGCTCCCAAATAAGATTTTAACCCACTTGGCCCTTTTCTAAAAAAAGTCACCAACCCCCTGGTCCTGTTTTGAATAAGTTGTCAACCCTTAGGCCCTGTATCTGAATAAGTGATCAAACCCTTGGCCTTATTTCTGATGAATGTATCAACCTCATGGCTTTGTATCTGAACAAGTCCTCCACTCAAAGGCCCTGTTCCCCTGATAGTGATTCTGTGTTGGCTTATGTTGGCATTGATGAATAAATTGCTGCTTATACCATCAAAGTTAAGTTTTCTTAAATGTAAAAGTGGAAGCTATTATACCTGGTAGACCATCATTGCCAATCTCTCCCTTCAGGCCGGGAAGTCCATCTTGACAAATTCCACAGTCAGCACCCCTTCCACCTACAACATTGATTTACATTAACAAACTTTCTTTACTTTCATGTACAGAGATTAATATATTATTGTTTGTGTGGTTATATATTGTGTAGCAAAACTGTTTCCATATTGTGACAAAAGTCCCCATGAGTGGGGTACACCAACATACAATTTAAAATCGAAAAGGATGTTCTTCAAGATCAATGATTTATTAACCCATACATCAGCAGCTGTATTACCCTCTAACCAAAGTCACTGACTTACCCTTGAAATCAACTTCACCATCAAGACTTACCCTTGAAACCAACTTCACCATCAAGACCATCTAATCCATTAACTCCAGGAGCCCCACGATCTCCTTCCAAGCCTCTCGCTCCCTGTGGTCCAGTAACATCTCGACCAATACCAGGAAAACCTGGAATACCAGCAATTCCATTGCTGCCGGGGAAACCAGCCAGTCCAGGTAAACCGTCACGACCAGGTCGTCCACGTAAACCAGGCAGGCCAACAACATCACGACCAGGCTCACCCGTAAACCCTTTGGTTCCTGTCTGTCCAGAAAGTCCAAAACTTCCAGGCAGACCGTCAGGTCCAGGATTACCTAACAATTGGGCATGACATATATATTATTCAATGATATTTGTAATTGATATTAAGTTTTAATGTACAAATGAAGTGAAATGTACCATATCAAGGCATCACTATTTATGCTGCTGTTTTGAATATTTAAACCAGCACGTCCTTGGTGGTAAGTCTCAGATCATTATTCACTTTTTCCTACCTAATTAAATGTTGTTGGCCCTATTCACTGTGAGTTTCTTTTACAATTCCCAACCCCACCCCCTCCCATTTTTCATTATTATTTTGGTACTAACTGTCATAACCTGCACAGAAATATAACTCATTAATAAGCATTAATATATTTATATTTCTATAAACCTACCGATAGGCATCATTGTATCTATTTTTAAAAACCTTCAGATTGGCGTCGTTGTAAACATTTCTGTAAACCGAGATAAACGTCACTGTATATATTCTATAAACTACAAATTGGCATCAACGAAAGAAGTGGGCTTTCACCAGGGATCAAACTCAGGAATGCTGTACCAGTACTGATCGAGCTAAAGGGAAATTCCCTCAAGAATGAAGCAAGAATGCCACCAACTAGTAGTCCCAAAGGTGTTTGATTAGACAGGTCAAAATTTTTCGGAAAGCAAATCAATATTATTTCTTCCGTACTTAGCATCATAGTGCATATGTCTTGAGACAATAGTCAGAATAAGCTTTGGTTAGTTGAAGAAAACTCACCTGGAATTCCTTGGTCACCCTTCACAGAGAATCCTTGGGGTCCCCTTAGACCTGGAAGGCCATCTGGACCTGGAGGTCCAACAGGTCCAAGTCTTCCCTGCTGTCCTGTTGGTCCATCCTGACCTGCAATATAATGTAAAGAGTTACCTCTACTCTGATGCTACAGAGTTACCCCCCTTATACACACATTCCATCCCTCTAACTAACTGAGCTATCTGGTCAACAGAAGCGTCCTGACCCAAACGAGCTACAGTTGTGTCCAGGAGTGAAATTAAAGGGAGGTTATTGTATATATGAAAAATGAAAAAAAACACAGTCCAGTAGGACAGGGTTTGGTTTGTTTGTGTTTTACGTCCTGTTAACAGCTATGGTCACTTAAGGACATGCCAGGTTTTGGTGGTGGAGGAAAGCAGTTACAGGACTCGAACCCGCGACCCAGTGGTGGAAGGCTAGTGGTAGCAGAATGTCAGACGCCTTAACCACTTCGTTGTAGGACAGGGATACGTAATAACCTCTCTTTTTTTCCCTCCATTTATTTAAAAAAATCATTTTTCCTTTTTTTTTCAATGATTTTGATTTTGTGTATGAAACAAACACTAATGTATAAGTCAGTTATCATTATGTGAGACCTGATATCCGCATGTTTTACCTGGGAAACCTTTAGGTCCTATGACTCCAGGATCTCCGGAGAAACCTCTGGGTCCAGGACGTCCTTCCCCGGAGCCAATAATCTCTCCTGGTAAGCCCTACAATAGAACAGAACATCGTATAGAGCTTCATTACCCCAGTGACACATCATCGTTAAACTTTTAATTACCAGACATTTCCGTAATATCGACAATGGAAATCTGAAAACACATTTTATGGAATTCTTAATTATCGTATTTTGAAGAAAAAAACCAGTGTTTTTAGGGTTAGTAACTTTTGTTAAAAATGAAATCTTTTTGAAAATAGACTTGATGTATGTCTAATCTGCTGGAGCTAGATACACAGTAACTGTAGTTACTGATACTACCTATTCACAAATTTTAGTAAGAGGTCTAGTCAAATACATAGATTATGTCATTATTTCCCTCTAACTAAAACTGGTTCCTCAGTCCGGTGTTGTTGTGTGTGTTATTTGATCGCTAACTAAAGGTATATTCAGAGCACTTACCCTTCGTCCAGCGTCACCTCGTCGGCCTTGAAATCCTGCGTCGCCTCGGAACCCCTAAAATTATCAAATTCATCTGTTTTAGGTGATCGAAGGAAAAAACATGTTATATTCTTACAAATGTTCATATATTCAAAAAAGAATCATGTTTTATGGACATAATTGAAGCTACTCTTCATTGTTGTCATCTAATGCTTAATTTCAACAGAATAAAGCTAAGTAACTGTCATTTTGCCGATGAATACCTACAAACATATAACAAACATGCTGTAATTTGTCCAGTGTACAATATACAGGACTCAGAAGAGGAGACTTACCCTTAAATTAACAATATATTCTTTTTACATTATCCCTCAACAAAATTCTGTAATTAAGACAATTGGGAGGCACTCCCTGAAATCAATAGTCAGAGCAGCACAAGGGGAGGAGGGAGGAGGGGGGTACTAATATGAGAATCATTAAGTATCATTTAATAAATGATGGTTTAACAGCAAATATTTTTTTTCAATATTTTCCTCTTATGTTTAATCTTTTGCCAGTAAAAGTGCACTGAATCTGGGTCACAAATGAGTGCAGAAATATGATAGACGAGGGAAAGCAAGATTGAACAAACTTGTACCCAATCCCACTTCAATTCATGGCAAATGAGTTTAAACTGAGAATAGACCATAAACACTAGTATTCTGGCAAACCAGAACACCAGACTGACCTTCCCTTGGTCAATGAAAAACATGGAGACCTAAAGTCTCAGCTTTGTCCAGAAACAAAACTGGTCAAAAGACTGATCAAAGACAAAAATTTGCCACAGGCCATCACCCAAAGTCTCCTTGTCAGGTCATGCTCCTACAAATACTGACTGTTGGGGAGAACAACATATCCTATAGATGTCTGTACACGAGGCAGAGAAATAACATTTGAAGGAACAGAGTTTGTGTGTCAGGTGTCTACACATACTGTTAGCGACATAAGTTTTTGACAAATACCTGTTAGGTTAAAGACATGAAAGATGATAATGATAACCAATACAACTGATCTCTTGCTTCCATTTTGAACGTATCTACCTGGAAGTGACTTATCTACCTTGTCTAGTTATCTATTACCTTTACTCCTTTGAAGCCACTGATTCCAACACGTCCCTGTTCGCCTATCATTCCTTTAGGACCAAATGCTCCAGCAGGACCGTCCTTTCCACGCTTACCCTGCAAAAACAAAAGTGTAATAATCTTGTCAGAAGGCAAATAGATTACCTCCCCTTAAAAATATCTGCTGCCTTTTTGTGTAGCGTATTTTGATTATTTCCCATTACAGGCTTTTACCAAACTTCTTTCTTTTGCGAAGCGCTTTATGGTTTATCTCCCCTTACCTACTGTCTCTTTAGTGAAGTGGTTTGTGAATTGTCTCCCTTAACCTATTGATTCCAAATGACTGTTTTGCATAGTTTTAATTTATGAATTATCTCCCTTTACTCACTGCTTTCCACTGTTTTTTTGCATAGTTTTATTTAAGGAGTATCCCTACCCTTCTGCCTTGGTAGCCAGAGCCTCCCTTCATTCCTTTTGGACCCAATGGACCCTTTCTTCCCTGAAAAGCAAAAAGTATATTGTATAATCATTCTGACAACTTCAAAATATTTCAAATGTTTGTTACAAAAACCGGTCATAAAGTGTTTTTTATTTTATTCTATGTACAAGAACTATAAATGTAAAATAGAAAATTGGGGTATGTATAGCTACTTTTATATTGAAGAGATCATGATATAAGAATTGACTCATTCACCCCTGAAGACGCATTTGAACTCTTCCAATTAAAAGGTTGGAATAGTTCATTATGAAATCTCAGGGGTGAATGAATTTTTTTATTTGTATTATTTCATCATGATTTGTTCTGTAGTGGAAATACTTTTGATTCTGTGATAAATGCACATTTTCATAATAATTCACAAAGAACAATGGATTGGACATTTAACTATCTGTTATACATTTATTTACACATAATAAAACAAAAGATACAAAAATGGCGTTCTTTTCATCAATTAGATCTACAGTAAAGAAGTCTTTTGAAAATCAACTACGAAAAAAGTAGTAATAAAATTTAATCAAATGTCACATATAAGATTTTCTCGAGTAACTTACATCTTCGCCGATGTCACCGGGCAGACCTCGGAGTCCATCTTGGCCTGGCAGTCCCGATACACCAGGCTCGCCCTCAGGTCCTACTATGATGTCCTCAGGAGGAACACCTTCAGCAGACGGTTTGCCGGGAGGACCTGGGAGACCAGGATATCCTGCCTCACCCTATAAAATGATAAATCGCCATGACAACAGGGAATCTGTCATGATGATGTAAATATTCCTGGTTTTCTGAGGAACAAGTTCTGCTGCACCAATGGTGTAAAAACAAATTGTCATGTTTTTATGTACAAGTGATTGTGAACAAAATAAAATATTCAACCCATGATGCAATGGCCTCATCTGTTCATTGTTTGTTGTTATTTCCACCTGCTCTCTGAAGTTTTATTTTTCAAAGTAGATAACTATCATTATTTTCACTGTAAAATCTTAATACAGGTCACATGCTAAAATTTTAATAAGTACTGAATATGATGAGGAGTTCATGCCTTATCTTGTACATACACATTTAACCCATTCACCCCTTAAATTTCATGATGAACTATTCCAACCTTTGAATTGGAAGAGTTCAAATGTGTCTTCATGGGTGAATGAGTTAACACACAATGACAAAGTGATTACAGCCACAGTCAGCAGAACCTACAGATATCAGAACCATCCATCGCTATGTTGGTTGGCGATGCACCAACACTTGAGTATATTTGACTGTGTAGTATACTTATTTTCTATTTTACTGCTATTATGACTATTTGATAGAGTTAATGACAGAAATAACTTTTTGTGATAATGATAGCAGACATAATCACAATAACTTAGAATGTTCCAGAAATGTTTCAACTTACCGGCTCCCCCTGAAGTCCATGCCTTGCCTCCCCCATGTCTCCTTTGGAACCAGGCAAGCCATCTAATCCTGGTTCTCCCTGGAATAAAAACATGTCACATTTGATTTAAGGGTTGAGAAGAGGATTTATACCAAAAAATAGAAAAAGATACTTTGATAATATGTAAAGCTGATTTCATAACAGTTCTACATAGAGAAATGATTTAAATTCACGGTGATGGTAAGATATGGTTCAGTATGGCTGCCATGGTAACATCCTTTTAGTGTGTCTGTCATGGAAACATCATCTGAGTATGGCTGCCATGGTAACATCCTTTAAGTATGGCTGTCATGGTAACATCATCTGAGTATGGCTGCCATGGTAATATCCTTTAAGTATGGCTGTCATGGTAGCATTATCTGAGTATGACTGCCATGGTAACATCATCTGAGTATGGCTGCCATGGTAACATCCCTTAAGTATGGATGCCATGGTTACATCATCTGAGTATGGCTGCCATGGTAACATAGTTTAAAGAGTATGAAATTAGTACTAGACCTGAACTCAAGCTGTTAAATATGTTGTCTGGTTATAATGTAATTAAGATATTTTGATTTAGATATAGTGAACTTTCCGGAAAGCTTGCCTTTTTAACAATTTTTTATGAAATAAATTTAAATTCAAATCAATAGCAATAATTAGAAGTACGTACCTGATATCCTGGATTACCATCATAGCCCCTATTTCCAGGCAACCCGCGGTATCCAGGCTGGCCCTGTTCAGAAATAAGAAACCAATAATTAGACAAACAAGCATTGTCTCCGAGTTTATGCCATGGTTATTTCAATGAATAAAACTTGAGAAATATGTCAATCATTGTTGTATATAAATCAACGTATTAAGCTTCCTTGGAAATGTCTTTTTTTTAATGAACATCAGAATAGATCTTCTCCGATTAGTCCGACAAGAATAATGATTTGCTGTCTTACCTGTGTTCCGGTGGGTCCTGGTTCTCCAGATTGGCCTTTCGGGCCTGGAATTAGCAGTTGGCCATCGCCAGGCTCACCCTAAAAAACACAACAGTAAATGAGTAAGGCACGTAAGCAAACTAAGGTATCTGCACATTTCCACAGATCTTTCTCTGGGGCCAACAGATGCAATGCACCAAATTTTCTGAATGTTTACACATTTTCTGTGGATGTGAATCAATTTTTTGTTTATGATTTTCATTTCAATGGGTTGGAAGCTAACAAACAATTTTTTAATGCGAAAATCAATATATTCACAAGTGAACATTTCCCTTAATTTCTGAGAAAACAAAAACAAATAGCACATATTTTCAACAAAAATTGTGTATTAATCTATGCAATATATTTGAAATATCATTTAAGAGGTTTCTAAATATCAATCAATACCAGGTTATATATGGCACAGCTATCAATATTTTGTTTGGTTGTCAACAATAATGATTGTTATTAAATTGTAATTTGTTATTTTAAAGGTGGTTTTCTGTCAAACGCCTTTTATTCAAACAGCAGTGAAGGGGGACAAATCTCACAATAAACTTTTCATTCTTTAAAACTCATTTACACCTACATGTTTAGTAGTTAGGTAAGGTTCAAATATATATCATATGTGGGGTTTGGCATTAAGTCTATAGAAATGCAATTAAATCGTGGCAATGCCAAAGAGTTGTAAATATATTATCATAAATGTTAAGAATATGCATTTCAATCCTGAACAGAACAGTAGTCCAACTATCATTCATAGAATATACTTGCATAGAACTCTTATGAAAAGGAGATTGTAACCGTCACATAAGGTATCATACATCCTTAAGTACATTGTGTAGAAAATAGAACAACTGACCTTTAACCCGTCAAGTCCATCTAAACCTCGCCGTCCCTGAGGTCCAGGTATACCTGGTCTACCGTCTTTGCCAGCCACTCCCTACAATGGAAGTTCATGTAAATCATTAAAATAAACTTACTACAATCAAAAATGGCGACACAATGACATATCGCAAGAAATATACTTTTTTTAAATGGCTGCCAAATTTGTCGGTTTTTTTTTGAATTATTGTAAAAATAGTTGTACAAACAATAGGCATCTATTTTTTGACACATTTTTCAGCTTGGTGTTTGCTATTAAGATTGATCTTAACTTTTTAAATATTACAAAAACCAGAGTACTCGGAGAACACCCCTGTAGTGGGACAGGCGACCTTATCCCTTTTCATGTCTGATCAGGGAGTAGAACCCTGGCAGCCTTGGTGAAAAGCAAATGCACTATTTACTGCAGCACCCGACCACCCTATCCTTTGAATCATTAAAATATCGTCTAAAGAGCATGAAATTCAATCAAACATGTGACTATTCCAATTGCTTTTTGAATCAGGGTATCTAGTACATGTGGATAAATATGATTCCTAGGAATAATAGTATCTAAATACTGCTGTTACCTGCTTTATTGTCAGTAAAGTGTTGCTTTGTTCATTGTTTTAAGGAGTAAAAATACATTCTTACCTTTGTACCATTGCATCCTTGGTAGCCTTGAGATCCAGCAGGGCCTTCTAACCCTTTCAATCCCTGAAAGTGACCACATTTGCTAATACAATTCAATCACAACATGAGGGTCCCTATCATTACAATATCCATTCCTTAGGCCAGACAAAAATATATATACATGTGTTTCCTGTAACACGTTGGAAAAATTTAGGGTAGGTAGGTAACAAGTTTTAATTTAACAAGTAATTGTATATTATGGTGTATATAGGACAGTGATTTTGAGTTTAACAGTGTGCTTCTTTGAAAATTGCCTTAAAAAAGTCAAGGGTAGGCATAAAAAATTAGGGTAGATAGGGTTACCAGAAACATCAATTTTTATTGTTTGACCTAAACTTATCACAGCTGCTGTTGTACACAATATTTTATCAATGATTACGTTTTTCCATGGATGTAGCATAAAGGAAACTTCAAGAAAACACTGTTTCTGCAGCATCATGAACATTCTATAGAAATTGTATCTTTACAATTATTTTCAAAGGTTTATTGCCTTTTTGGTTTTTATTTTTATTTTTAATGGTTCACCTATGGCTATATTCCTTATAAAAAACATTTACACAACTAATTATTATATTAACCCTTTCACCCCTGATTAACTTCTATAGATTCTTCCATCTTTTAATTTGGACAAGTCCATAATTGGTCTCCATAGGTGAAGGGGTTAAATTCATATCAGTTTTTGAGAAAATATAGATGGTCTGAGAACAGAAAATGAAGCTAACACAAATATATTCAGTACAAAGTTTGACAAAACTATGGCATTAAGATTAAATTTCTATGAAGAGACATTATGACATCATGTATTCTATAAGATAATTATCATTATTATTGTTTTAACTCATTCACCCCTGAAATTTCATAATGAACTATTCCAACCTTTGAATTGGAAGAGTTCAAATGTGTTTTCAGGGGTAAAAGAGTTAAGGAATGCTAGCTGGGATAAGACTCAATGAGTTAATACATGCATCTATACATATCCGGGGAAGAAACAATGATCCTTAAATTGATTGTATTTAGTGTAACCAATCATTGTAAGTGTTTACTTACAGGCGCACCAGGGTTTCCATGGAATCCAGCCAATCCCTCTTGACCCTGTACAAAATAATAGTTTATTATATATGAACCGCAAAGAGCATCCAACAGATATGATTTGTGTTTTATATAAGCAGCCTTAGTTAATGATATAAACATTCCAGATATTTATATATAAAAAAATCATAGTTTTTCTTAGAAGGCTCAACTAAACATAAAAGCAAGCCATGGAAAGGCAGACAAAAGGATAATTTTTTTTGCTGGTCTGTAATAAAAGAAAACACAACCCTTCATCCTCAATGGTACAAATGTATATAAAATTGTCTTGCTTCAGTTATAAACCCCAAAAAGTTTGAGCATATCCTTCATGTGTACTGTAGTCCAAACCATCATAGATATAATTATAATTAACAAACCTGCTTATTCTAAACCCATAATAGGAGAATCCGACATTTTTCTACACCGAAAACCAATAAAATCTGTCAAAGCTGGCCTTCAATTAAGATTAAAATATACACCCAAAGTATTTAAACACTTGTAAAATGGAGATGAAATGAAATCCCCCAAAAATCTGTTCTGGATTCATTATATCTGAAATATGTATATGTATCCTACTTATCCAGCAATAAGCCCATGTACAGTAATAAGCCCATGTATGTTAATTAGCTGATGTCCCGTAATAAGCCAGCCCATGTCCAGTAATAAGCCCATGTCCAGTAATAAGCCATAAGCCCATGTCCAAATATAAGCCCATGTCTAGTAATAAGCCCATGTCTAGTAATAAATCCATGGCCAGTAATAAACCCACCATGTGTACTGCAGTTCAGTAGAAATGTCAGCATATCCTTATCATTTTGCATTGTCCTCTAATAAGCCCATCCCCAACTTTGATTCACAGTTTATGGCTATTTTGACTTATTGCAGAATAAATAGGGGTTCTAGACTTGTTTGCTCACCCTGGTCCCCTTGGGTCCAATAGTCCCTTCAATTCCGTCATCACCATTTCTACCCTTGGGCCCAATAGGTCCTTCAGGTCCCAGAAATCCAGGCATGCCAGGGGGTCCTCTCACCCCTCTTAGTCCAGCTTCACCCTGAAAAAGGTATAACATCATTGTAACAATAATGATCAATCACATTTTAGCTCTGAAACAGAACTATCAAATTATTAAAAAAAATCATGTATTCTGCATCCAATACTTATGATATTTGTGAGCAAATTTACTTTTAACTCATTTCCCCCTACACATCTAAACTGGACATGCCAGTCTTTAATTTGTTAAGGTGCAAATGTGTCTTTAGGGCTAAATGGGTTAAATCTCCATGGGCTCCAGACCCATTTTCAAATGTTGTATTAAATTTCTTTTTTAACAATCTTAAAACAGAACATTTTATACAAGAACCTCACTTCTGTATTTTGAAAGATCTTTATTGAAATGTCTGCATGTTTTTTTAAGACATTAATTAAGTTCATTACATATACAATGTATTAAGTCATAGAAACCCATCTTCCTCTATGGAGGGGTATTCCATCTTTGCGTATTGCAGAGTTATCTTCTCTTGAGAGCAGGTATTGATTGTTACGTCATTTGTTTGTGAGAGTAACGTCATCATTTTTTGAGAAAACGACGTAATTTTCTCACACGAACCAATGACGAAACAATCAATACCTGCTCTCAAGAGAAGATAACTCTGCAATACGCAAAGACGGAATATGTTCTTCACAACTTAAAACATAAACTGCATACAAACAACAAGAATGTGAATATAAGATTTTGGAAAATGAGTGGTGCAGTCTGTGACATATAATTTAGCTCATTCACCCCTGAAATTTCATAATGAACCATTCCAACCTTTGAATTGGAAGAGTTCAAATGTGTCTTCAGGAGTGAATGAGTTAAGTGTGCATTCACAACTTGCTACTTGATCTGTTCCTATAGTGAGTCCTAGTTTGAGGTTGATTAGGATGTAATTTGAATTCAAAAGAAGAGATGATTGACCATACAACATTCTACTTTAATCCAGTTTACCTAACTAAATCAAATTTGCCTCGACTTTCCTTGCTCATCTGATGCTGTCAGGTCATCTCTTCTTTAGAATTTCAATTAATATTATATATCACCGGACTAGCGGATTCTATTTAGGAACTCATCAACTGATGCTGAACTTCACTGAACATTCTCCCTTGTATTAGGATGTTATCTGTAAGGTATCATGATTCAGGTCTGTCCCTAACAATATCCAAACCTAAAACCTCCATTATAATAATTCATGATAACAGCAGGCCAAAAAACATTTTGTTTCAGGTTACATGCCTGAAAAAAATAGGGAAGGTCAGTAGGCTAATAATTTTATTTTAATGGTTTATTTTTATTTTTATGAATTAATTTCATGCTTTATTTTATATTTAACAGTGCATATCCGCACATTACAAATGGCTATTAATTTGTCAAGAATATATAAACACCAAGAACAGGAAGAAAATACATATTAAAGAGTGACTGTGAACTTTGCCTAGCTCATAATTTATCTTAGATACAAGCAGGTGATAAAATATCTAGGGTCGGCAGTAAAATCTAGATTAGGTCGGGATACCTGAAACACACATTTATTTTTTGCCTTACTAGTGCAAAATGACTGCTGAAGAAAAGTAACTTACCTCATAACCTTTCTGTCCCGCACAAACACATGGTGGAGCATTACAGCCTTTGCATGCCTGAAATCATTGCAAAAATGTAAGAAAACATATCTAACATATACAGAATCTATATATATCTTACTATAGAACTTTAACTCACAGGGTCAAACTTTTGCAGTTTAGTAACAGGAACAAATTAGTCAGGTTTGAATTCTGTATGCCATACTGTTGATTAGTTACTTATTTCAAACGCAGTTAATTAAGAACTTGCATTTCTGTAATTTTTGTAACTTAAAAACATATTTCAATCATCATGTATGATTTACATTATACATGCATATATAATTAATCATGCAATACTTTAATTTATGATTGATGCTTATACAAATTAATATTGAAATATCACCCTCACAAAATTTATCATGTTAATATCTGTACTTTTTGAAGGATTTTTTTATGACCCTCAAACAAGGATAGAAATTTACTTCAATCCAAAAGTAACATTATCGAGATGAATTCCCATACTGAATCCTTACCAACAAAATAAACTACTAGTATAGGTCTTCAGAAAGCACTGAATAGTTACTCTATCAGAAGGGCAACAAGCAAATTCGTGGAATTTATATCCCCTGAGGTTAACCCTGTGACCAAGTTTGAAGGAAATTAGGTAACATTTGTTGTAGTAATTGCACAGAAACGAAACGCAGCAGATAATGACTTTTTTCGTTATTCAAGGGGCCATAATTCTGCCAAATGGGATCCACTGAAAGTGGTCATCAAACTTGACCGAGCCCTTAAAGCATTTAACCCTGTGACCAAGTTTGAAGAAAATTGGTTAACATTTGTTGTAGTTATTGCACGGAAACGAAGCGTGACAGACAGACAGACAGACGGACGGTCGGACGGACATATTTTTTCATGCTGGCTGTGAATTTTGTAATAATAGAAACCCTGTGAACTTCAAGCACCATTGAACTGGAATAGAAATAAGTATACATTGTATACAATCACAAGTTGGTGGTTTGAATTATCTCCCTTTACTTTGCCAGAAGCAGATCACTCCATTGATAACTCTTTCCCTATGTTATTAGCACAATTGTATATATATATATCATTTTAAATTCTTTTAATAAATTATTCTAATTTCATTTCTCAATCAACTTAAAATAAATTTCACCCACTTTAAAGACAAATTGCATCAATTTCCATCTCTTACAGTACTTCAAGAGACTCCTGTGCATATGTAAATTTCAGTAGACTATGACATTGTGAATATAAAATGTAAAAAGGCTAAGGGGAAATGACTCACTTTAAAAAACCAATGACTACCGGTAGAATTATTTATCAAAAAGAACACTGCCTTAATTTTCTATCAGAATATGACTTTTGTGGAAATTCTTTTACACTATAGAAATGAATTAAACAACAGTCACTGACAAAAAGTGAAAGTACATAGAATTCATTATGAAATAATAGATAATCTAATGCTTATGGTATGTAACTATATATATATCATATTTACAATCTTTAATAATATTTTTTATCAATTAGCAACAGACTGTTATTTTGTATGCGAAACCACACAAAATCCATGTTACATATGCCGACATTATTTTTGTACATGAACGTCTCCTATATATGGACCATTTGGCACAACACAAGCAAGCACTTACATGATTAATCTGATAAGCTGCTATTTCAAATACAACAATGCCGAATCCAAATGATTTCATAGGCAAATCAAACGACAAAATCTAATTATAAAATAAACTCTTAATAAATATTTTTTTTGAAGAAATTCTACAAGCTTTTGCAATGAACTCTTTAATGATAAAAGCAAAAACAGCTTCTTTGTACAATCATAAGATTTAATTGTCAACCTTCTGATAAATAGATAAAACGTAAACCATGGCTGATAAATTAATTGATTGATGGTGCTGATGTAATTGTTTGGTAACAATGCAATATAGGACAGAAAAAAAGAGTCAAAGAGTTTTTAGCTATGGTCAGGTGTTTCCTATGTGTATGGTGCCCCCCCCCCANATTTTTTTTATCATATATTTTTATTTATTTCTATTTTTTAAAGATTAATATGGACCGTCCGTATTAATCATAAAAAGGGAAAGAAAAAAAAACTTGAAAATTTTAGTCCAACGGAACTTTTATTCCGCTTTGTTCTCAGATAATATTCAGCTATAACCTAGGTATTGGCTTGGCCCCCTCCCCCCTTACTTTTAATCATACTGCTTCAGGATATGACAGCCCCCCACCCCATTTCCTCTTCCAGTACACACAGCTGGAGACAGGAAGGGAGGGTTCTGTCCAGGACATGTCGGGTTGTGTAACAATTAGTCACAGTAGGTGTCATTATGACACCTGGGTGGGGTCAAAGGTCAGCTATACACAGACCAGTTGTGTTACTCTTTCAAATACTCGTAAAGAAATGCCAACAATAATTCTTAGTTGTAAGTTTCTACTTGTTCATGAATAGAAATACATGCATAAAAATATAATAGTTAGATTCAAAAGATATTTTTTTTATTATGAAAAATGCATGCATTAATATATATAATAATTAGACTTGACAGTTTATCTAACGAAATCGTTTTACTTCGCGAAAATTGAGTCAGTTGCCTGAAGCTTAAATTCCACATACAAATAAAAAAAATCACAAAGAAAGCATCTATAGCAGGAGAAAATGATATAAAAGGATAATGTTATTCAAATTCACAATGTAAAGAAAAGCTTAAGGCATGGGGGTGAAATGGCTACGCTTCTGACGGCGGCCCGTATCGCCTCACATAAAACAGACATACAATTTTGAAACAAACTATACTTACTGCACCGAACACTACATCCAAAGAAACGGTAACCACGATCAAAAAAACGAATACAAAATTCCTTAATTTCATAATTTCATCAGGAAAACTGGTTCTGGTGGAAACTCCGGAGTACTGTCGATGCTGGAAAGATATTTAAAGGACAGCACCGAGAGTTAGACTCCTTTTTCGACACGTCTAACCTTTGTTGTCTTCAGTTAGCCACCATCTTTTCCTAAGAAACTACTAATTCGCGTATGAACATCCACACACGCGCTACTTGGCCCAGCCGCTGAAACTTGTTGCATAGAGCAATTTTCTCACGTAATATGTTTCAATCAAAATTGATAAAAGCTCTCGATATATTTTAACAATAGTACTAAAAATGAATTTCTTGCGCAAAAATGAATCCCTTTTTCGCAAAAATATAGCATGAACTGGTCAAAATTGTGTGCACTATATTGTGGAGCGGATGCGCGTAACCGTTCTTCGTCCCGTGTGGGTAGTCCTCCACCCACTTGAGCTGTCAATCAATGCAAATTTTTCCAGACACCTTTGCGAGCAGCCGAAACAAAACTTTATAATATTCCACGAAAAGAAAAAGTGTCCTTACATTCCCGCACTCTTCCTGAAATTAACATCTCATCTGAACGATGACCTAAGTCACGACCCAGAACTTGGAGGTAACTTAAACAAGGGAATTATTTTTATCATTAATCTACTGTACGGATTATATATTTTATCTACTCAGTAACTTCTAGAAACGATGACTTGGCGCTAAGCTATTTTAAGTAATCTTGTTTGTTTAGTAAGTATTTAGTCAGACGGTCATTCAGCTTTAATATGTACACTTTTGTTCCGAAAGATTATTGTAATACAAACAATTTCCTGTAGTTGCCGCGTTACTTGGAGAGATACCTCACGCATTTTCCTGTGGTGTTACTTTACAGCCATAAGCACGCGCTAAGCCCCGCCCCTTCTGTCCATAACGGAATTCAGAACTTAACCTCCGAGGCAAGAGCAGTTACACCGAAACGGGGGTTTTGTTGTTTCTCTTCAAACAACTTACCTCTGATGGTGTTTAAAATTTCAAAAAACTGTTCAAGTTGTTCAGAGTGGACTTCAGCTGGGTTGTAAACTCAGCGAAAGGAAAAACGACCGGTTTTCCGGCGTTATAGACTTTTAGAAAAGTTATTTTCCAAGTCACCGAAGACTAGACAGACGGGAGCAGAGCGGTTCGTCGTTTTCATCTTATTCATCTGTACCATCGGGCTTTCCAAGTGTGCTCACTTCATCTAGAGCCATGAATTCATGGTAAGTAAAAACTCCTTATTTTCACTTTTCAGTCCGTTAATTAATATATTTCTTTAATTTAGTTTTTCCGTTTTTTAAAAGTTCAAGAAATTTTCTCTTTATTCCGATAGCACATTGCACGGAGAATAGACTATAGTCTGTATCTTAAAAGTGTATACATTGGCAATGCGGTTACCCTTCTTCAGAATATGAGCCTACCACTTGTTACCTAAAATACTTATTGAAAACACAATAGTAAATTAAATAAATATAATGATTTAGTTAATTTATAAATATCTTGTGAAATTTATACATTTCATGTTTTATTTTTCTTGTTTATTACGGGGTTTTTTTCATTTCTTTTAACATTAGAAAGATATGATGAATCCAGAATATTCATATGATTTTTTTTCCCTTTTAGGCTATTGTTAAGTTTGTTGTTCGTCTGTATATCAAGTTTCACGTCAGCTGTAAGTATTAGCATGTCATAGTTTAATTTACTAACCAACACACTTCTGACTCCTTTATGAAGGAGTGTTATGTTTTTTCTGCTGGTACTCTTACCACTGTAACAAACATTGAATGTGATACTGTATCATGAATATTTAATTTGTTAATTTCATATATGTAATATCTGAGGTCCTGCCACAAACACATATATGCTGTGGTATTTATACTTTTTTATTTAGATTTGAAAACAGAACAGCTCGTCCCTTCCTTTTAATACTTTCACCCCTATGTAACTTTAGTAGGCTCTACCATGCATTGATATGGATGAGTCCATTATGGTCTACAGTGGTGAAAGGGTTAATACTTTTTTCTCCCTATTTACCAAGTTTTTCCACCAAACTCCACCCTACATTACTTAATTAGACAGCCTGCATCCAATAGATATTATTTGATACTTCTTATAATATGTTATACGAGACCTGCGTTCTATAAAGATTCGAAACACTGCTGTAATGCTGTAAAGCAATGTATTGTAAAAACCTTTCAGTGGAGGGTCCAGGAGCTCAAATCAGGGGACCCAAGATTGCAGGATTTCATTACCTACATCCCCCCCCCCCCCCCCCCCCCCCCCCCCCCACACCTACCTAACCCTCACTCTTTCTTGAGTTTGAAATTGGATGACATCGAGCTCAAAGCGCCCGCCCCCCTTTTCTGTGCCTGACGTCTGAATTTATGGGGATTAAAAACCAAAGATGTGCTAACATAAAGTACTGTATTAATTAGCATTGATATTCATTCAAAGCCGATGTCCAAAGGGCTATGTTACTGCATATAATATAGAGAGACAGGAACATTAAAACACTGTTTGGAATATTCTAGAAATTACATTGGAGCAATAACTAACTATTTAAGATAAGCTACATACCAAAAACTTAACATGTGTGGGGCCAAGATTCTGATAATACTACTTCCCTACTTTCATTCTCAGAATATTCTAGAAAATATGCAGGGGTGCATGGAGACCTGTTTATAAATTGTTGATGTTATTGCCTCCACCCAGCGGTGTTAATGTTGCGTAAACAAGCTTCCAGTGTACCAGTTTGCAGCAATTTGTACAGTCTAGGGATGGTACGTGGACACAAGATTCCTCCACAGTATGCAAAAATGTCTCTGGATTGCGGCCAACTAGAGAATATATTTCTGTTTACATTGGACAAAATGTAGGTGTGCATTGGGACTAGCACCAAACTGTTGACATGTATCCATAGCAACCACAGTACTTCGGTACCAACTTAATTTACTAGTAGTCCTGAGGTGATCAAGAATCAGCCCTTACATACAACTTGACTGGCATGGTCAGTGTTGCTTTACCTAGAGACCACATGAGTCTTTTGGCATGGTCAGTATCACTATACCCTGACCACATGAATCTCCTGTCATGGTCAAGTTCACTGTATACTCATTCCCCCATGAAGAAGACACATTTGAACTATTTCAGTTCAAAAGTTGGAATAGTTCATTATGAAATTTCAGGGGTGAGTTAGTTAAGTTATGGTTGGTTGTGGCTAAGTTACCAACCTACATGAAAGGTAAATCAGGTTCATGTACTCAGGGTTTGCCAAATTTGACCCTTTGTGCAGGAATGACTGGTAACTCATGATCATTCACCCCTGAATGAGTTAACAAAAGGGTGGGCTTATTACTGGACATAGTTTATTATGAATGAATATTTGATGTAATTCCTGAAAACTATTGCTTGTTGAGGTTTTCCAAAAAAGGACGGTCATATATTATACCTAGTGTACATTATTCAGTGTACTTCAGTTTTAAAAACAACTTTCTACTCTCTATATAAAATGGTAAATGCTTTCCTTTGAATTATATTTTCCCAACTGAATTATGAAAAAAATTAGAAAATGTTTCAGTATTTTCTTCATCTAAGTGATTCATTGATGAAAAAAATGATCATATGTTTAAAAAAACACAGTTGACTAGACGTTTTTATCAGCCCTGTGTTGTTTAGCAAGCATACAGTCATGTTGGTCTGGTTTCATGTAAGTAGGCCTTTGGGTTTCCCATTCTCACACAGAAACATGTGTTAATACAAGTTCTCCTTCATCAGCCGCGTAGTGTATGGTCATTTACAAATATATATGCACATTTTTGAAAAATTGGTTTTCAGCACCATATGTTTCAAGATTATAAGAGTAAAATTGCTTGCTGTAAAGGAAGTATACTGAAGTATCTTAACTCTGAACATTATACCATTTCTTACTCGTTAAATTTAGATTGCATGCCCTGCTAAGTTATTTGGAAACTTTTTTACTTGTATGTGCCAATTAGTTCATATAAAAACAAAGTAGGATTTTTTTTTGCAGCTCACAAAGAGACATAGTTCTTTATGCATCCATGTGCTATTTATTAAAAACTACACACTAACTGTTCTCATGGACTGTAAGCTTATAAACACAGTTGTAATAAACCTCGTCGAATCTAAGAAATGAATTTGCTGTTGACATAATTTGTTGCAGGGTTTGATGTTTAATAGACATTTCAGTGTGAAGGAACACTGCATGTTTTACTGTAGCTTATCCTTAAAACACTGTTTGAAATACATTACAGTTCCCCCAAAATAAGTAAATCATAGTACCTCCATCATCATCTACATTCTAGTTCTTCCCAAATAGCTATTACATGTTATATAGCTCCTCGTCATGAACTATATTGCAGCTCATTCCAATGAACTACTCCCTAGTGACTCCCAATAAATTTCATCCTAGCTCTGCCCTATAAACATCATCCTGGGTCCTTCTGATGAACTACATCCTGGCTATCTCCCATGGACTACATCCTGGCTATTCCCCATGAACTACATCCTGGCTATTCCCCATGACCTACATCCTGGCTATCCCCCATGAACTACATCCTGACTATCCCCCATGGACTATTTCCAGGCTAACCCCCATGGACTACATCCTGGTTATTCCCCCATGAACTACATCCTGGCTATCTCCCATGACCTACATCCATAACTATCCCCCATGAACTACATCCTGGCTATCCCCCATGAACTATGTCCCAGCCATCCCCCATGAACTACATCCTGGATATTCCTTATGAACTTCATTCTTACTCCTCCCCTTGAACCACACCCTGGCTCCTTCCGATGAACTATTTATTAGTTCCTTACCATGAATTACAACCTTGTAACACTACGAACTACCAGTACACCCTTATGACTCCCCAGGAATTGCATCCTGGCTCCTCATGAACTTTATCCTGGTGCCATGCTATACACAACCTGTACCTGGTCGTTGCCTGACATTAAGAGGGATGATGAATGACAGAAAGATTGGAAGAGGCAGAGAAACTGTTCCTAATTAATTAAATAGAGCGAAGGTTACAATATAGACAAGTGGTATATCACAGAATAATTAATTGTAAGTACCCCCACCTCCAGTGCCACAGTGAATGCCTGTCTTCATCAAAGGGCAGGTAATTAGTGGTTGGTAATTACATGATGTGGTTTATATAAACCTGTACATTTTAACCATCACGGGAACAAGACACACACATACAGTGTACCATCAGATACAGTTGAGAAAAACATGGTGTTCATTTGGTATACTTAGGTCACAGGTCCAATTTTGTCAGGTAATTTTACCGGTATTCAAATATCGAAACATTGACCTTTGACCCTTTTTGTTACCTCTAGTTATAATCCAATTAGAATTACTGCTTGCAATTGCTTAAGTCATGTCACGTAAAAGCACATAGCTAACAGATTGGGCCTTCAGACAGCAGAAATACAATCTTTGAAAGATAGTCAATACAAATACAAGATTTAAGCGATCACTGTATATTAAATTCTGTACAATTACATTAGACTAGTTTGGCAAGTTGCTCGGTAAAATTGAAATTTCATTTTGGGGTAGAAGGGGAATAGAAGTTTTCTTAGCTGACAATCACAAATTTTGAAGCAAGAGTACATGGTGGACTTTTAAGGATAAGTTTGTGAAAAGAGAAGGAGTTGGTCTGTTTCAGGAGGTTGAAGGGTCACAGTGCTGACATGGCACCCTTGCCTATATCTGGGGAAAAATATTTTGACAATAGGTTTTTATAACCCAGTGACCTCAAACCTTTCCTAAAAGAAGCTGTGATCTAGAACCATCTGTTTTTCTGACAGATAAAACTTCGCAGTACTGTCTTCAGCGTACAATTGTATGGACTGGGTTTTTTTTGTATGGACATAGTAAATCTGATAATTTCTGACACCAAACAGATACCTAGATCTTAATCTAAATGGTGTTTTTTTTTTTATCTTGATAGGCAACCCTGAAATGTTAAAAAAAAGATAGAATGCTGAATCTTGAAAAATTCTTTCATTAACGTTAGGCTAGCGTCAGTTCATGTTTCAGGACCGAATTGTTCTATTATTTCTTTAAGGTGTTGTCCCTTATTCTTCCTTGCTTAAAAGTTTACCATCTGTCTTAATTTGACTCATTATCCTGACAATCTGCTACCACTAGCCCTCCACCACTGGGTCATGGGTTCGAGACCTACGTGGGCCAGTCGCCAGGTACTGACCATAGGTCGGTGGTTTTTCTCCGGGAACTCTGGCTTTCCTCCACCACCAAATCCTGGCACGTCCTTAAATGACCATAGCTGTTAATAGGACATAAAACACAAACATTTAACCAACCCAAACTCATTATCCTTTCAAATGGACCTACAAACTGCTGACAGTGATAGCTAACTATTACTAAAAGTATTCCATGTAATGCTCGTTGTTTGAGGATTTAACATTCTGGTCTCATCAAGATGCTTTTTGACTTTCTGAACACTGCTGTTAGATGTTTTTTTTGTTTTACATTTGTATTAGTTTTCATAAAAGTTTTTCACAAAGTATTGCTTTTCCTTTCAAAAATAATTTGTCAAAGCTATAGTTGGAATACAAATTTCCATGCATAATTGCTGATTTTGGCTGTTGTGGTGTTAAGATGTTTACATACATGGCCGA